CTTGTTCCAGTGCTTTGCTTCTCTTTCGTGGAACAGGCCGAGGAGGAGGAGGAGGGGCTCCGGTTCCTCTGTCCGTGCCAGAAACCATGATAAAGAACCTTGGGCCATTAGCACACTGGCTCCCTCTTCAAACCAAAGCAAAAAGACCTTCTCTACTGACTGCAGCCCTACACTTAGTCTAATGTTATTCTAAAGTAGACCTTGTCTACTCAACTTTTATCTCCCTCTTAAAGTCTTCCTGTAGTCAATAAATTTATTTATTAAGCTTAACCTTGATCTTTGAAAATGACAAATTTAAAGTTGTTGTTTTTTTTTTTCTTGTGGAAAAAAATCCTCATGCCTTTAAATAGCTTGAATGTAACCCTACACCCTTGCTTCATTTAGTTTACGAGGAACCATGAATATGCAAATTAGCCCTGACCCCACTTACTCGCACAAGCTCAGAGATCCTTTCTGCCAACTTTACTGTAGTAAACGCTGCACAATCGCTGCAAAATTTTCCAACACAAAAATGTTATAAATAAATAAAATAAAATAAGATAGGCTTAGTTATTGTTTTAGTTGTTTTTGATTCATGTACCCATGTAAATAAGGTTATGACACTAAAAACTACTAGCCTAACTCGTAAATTTTAAATATCGTTAAAGACAGTCAGTGTTAAAATAAGAACAAATAGTAATATGTGCAAAAAGGGGGTTAAAATCACATTACATTGTAGCATTACTATCCAAAACCAAAAATAATGATTTTATTTTTAAATTCACTAAACTGAATTAAAATAATTAAACAAAAGCACAGACTAATTAACCTACATTTGATTAGGTGTACCCCATTACAAGTCACTTTACAGTTACTGCTATGATAAAAATACATTTGTAGTTTTATCAAATTCTACATTGTTTAATTACCACTTTATGTATATTTTAGTCCGAATAACAGTTTCTAACATTTTACAGATGAAACAAAGTCCCTACTGTTAAAATGTGGTTGGATGAAATGGTTAGTTTATTACATCTAGAAAAAAATAATTTTTCTTTATCAAACAAACTGGATCAGTTTGGATCAGTTTTAGTGTCATCTGATGAAGGAACATCACCTGCAGGCTGCAGCTCAACCTGGCTAAGACTGAGCTTTTCGTCTTCTGCCAATCCGTCTCTACAGCACGAATTCACTATCCAGCTAAATTCTTCCTCAATCACCCCTTCAAGGTCGGTCAGAAATCTTGGTGTAATCTTCGATGACCAGCTGAGCTTCTCAGACCATATTACAAAGACAGCTCGATCATGCAGGTTTGCAATGCACAACATCAGGAAGATCAGGCCTTTCCTAACTGAGCAGGCGACACAGCTTCTTGTCCAGGCCCTGGTCATTTCTAGGCTTGATTACTGCAAAGCTCTTCTGCCTGGACTTCCATCATGTGGAACTAAACCTCTACAATTGATCCAGAATGCTGCGTCTTGTCTTCAACGAGCCCAAAAGGGCCCACGTCACTCCTCTGTTCTTCTTTCTGCACTGGCTGCCACTCGCTGCTCGCATCGGTTCAAGGTGTTGACGCTTGCTTAAAGATTGACCACGGGCTCAGCTCCCTCTTACTTTCACTCTCTCCTACGAGTCTACATCCCTACCAGAAGCCTACGATCAATCAATGAGCGGCAGCTCGTGGTGGTACCATCACAAAGAGCTACAAAATCACTCTCATTCACGGTTCCATGCTGGTGGAACGATCTGCCCATCCTCATCTGGAATACAGAATCCCTGACAGCATTCAAAAGACAACTGAAAACTCATCTCCTCTTGTGAGCACTTAATATATATATAAAAAAAATCCTTACTTGCCTGGTTTATACTACTTTGAGCAATGTTTTATCTTTGTATTTGGAGCACTTCATGTGTTGTTATTGCCTTTCCACAATGACTTGTTTGATTTAGTCCTCAGATGCAAGTCGCTTTGGATAAAAGCTTTTGCTAAATGACTAAATGTAAATGTAAGCACTGTGGAGATAGGAAGTTATGACCATGACAGGAAAGACCTAAACATGATATGGAAGAAGAGGATTTTGATGTTCTGCTGCTTGAATCCGATCTTCATGGCTATCTTTACGTAACGCAGTGTAGTGAAGAGCAGCTGAGGCTGATGGAGGAACAGGAGGCGGCTGCCTGTCGGTCGAGGAGCGTGGACTGGCTCAAGCTGAGGCGGACTGAACGCCCAGCTTGCTGTTTCTCCTGAACGAAATCTCTAAATCAGTGGAGCACACGGATGTTTGTGTTGTGATGTGAACCAGTTTCGCCTGACAGAACATCCAGGTATCATGCAGTAATTCACCATATAGAAATAAATACAAACGAGGAGTAATTCACTAATGAGTTTGCTAATGTTACGTTAACGGGGTCGTTGTTGTGGGAAGGAGGAGGCAGGAACCGGCGAACATTTAAATATTTTAATAGTAAAATGAACAAATACAAAACGAAAGTATAAGCCAGCAGCCCCTCATTGACGACTGCTGTCCACACATAACAGAAACAAAACACAACATAAAATCAGGCCTGTTTCTCTCTCGATCTGCCATCGTCACTCCTCATTTTATGCTTTCGCTCCTCCGTGAGAGATGCAAAACCGGTGTCTCTCTTACGCCCCTCGCCCTCGATCGTCCTGCTCGCCACGGCCAACTAACTAGACATTTTGTGTGAAATGAATTTCAAACTCTGGTGATAGCCAACGTTAGCCTTGTAGACGGAAGAGTGATTTCTCTGTTTGCGCTGTTCCGGATTAGTGGGTGTGGCTTGTGGAGCTTTGCAATGCGGTGAAAAAAAATTGTTTTACTTTTCTACTACGTATATGATCCACTTCCAATAAAGATTAATGTTGAAATGGGTGAAATGCTCCTTTAAATATTTAGTTGATTTGATCATTTTGCTTTTTTACATTGGAGTTTATTTATGTTACCTTCATTTGTAATCCGTGTAAACTGACTCGGTTCCCTGCCTGTTTACAAATATCATAACATCACCTGCTTTGCACATGACGATAACCAATGACAGGGTCCATGTTTGTAAGGCTGCCAAGTAAACTCAAATTCCAAACCTAATTGCCTAATACTGCTCAATTTTGATCTCTTGAAAGCTTAGCCTAGATTATTTTAAGAGTTTAAACAGAAGTGAAACCTCATTAAATTAGATTAAATAAGCTTAAAATCTCTGTTTCTGCTCTCTGACTCTGCCCTTCAAATGTTATGCATTATAGATTTTTTTTCTTTTTTTACTTTATTGGTTGTATAATGCGCACTGCTCTTGCTGGATCCGTATGACTCAAGTTCATTTTGATAGTCTCTTCACATAACATTTAACCCTTTAAGCCCTGAAGCCATTTTTACAGACACACATAAAAGTAAAGACTCAACTCCAAAATTATAACAAGGAGAGTCAAAAGGTAGGAACTGTTTGATAGAACACTTTTCAATTTTTTTGAAAATATAAATTACATTACATTTGGACATTCTCCTGCTGACAAACTGCTGATAAAAGACAAAAATAAATATAATTTTAATTATGATTTTGCATATCTTTCTTATTTGGCATAGAATAACTCGGGAAGGACTAAGAATAATTATTTTTGGTGAAGTTGCATCTGGGTCAAATTTGTGGTGATTGGAGAAAGGAATCATAAGTTACAGCATTTGGAACCAATGTAACCAATGTTTATTTAGTCCTTTACGCCCCCTAATAGGGATTTTTGAAGTTGTTCTTCCATGGAGAATACCTTGTCATAATAAACGCAATAGATTATGCTCATTTTAATTGTAATAATATTCTGGCGGGGGATTTTTTAAAATATTTTTTTATTAAGTCTTATGTTCACCAAGGCCAATAATACAGTAAAAAATCAGCAATATTGTAAAATATTATAACAATTTAAATGAACTTCTTTGCATTTTAATATATTTTAAAATGTACTGTATTCCTGTGATGGCAAAGCTAAATTTTCAGCAGCATCATTACTCCAGTCTTCAGAGTAACATGATCTTCAGAAATCATTAATATGCTGATTTGCTGCTCAAGAAACATATCTTATTATTATCAATGTTGAAAACATGTTGTTCTGCTTAATATTCTTATGGAAACCGTGATGTATAGATTACAGGATTCTTTGAATAGAAAGTGCCACCCCGTGCCCCCCTTCTAGACATGCCCCTGCGAACAGTGTGCATCTGAAGTGTCTCAGCTGAAGGAAATAATCTATTGTTTATCAGCTTTTAATTTTGCCAAAATGTCTTATTGGGCCAATAACGATTACATTAAAAATGAACATATATCGGCTAGTACTCTTTGTGGTAATCCTGCAAGTTTACTTGTACTGCAGTCCCATCTTCTCTGCAAAGCGAAGTGGAAGCTCCACTATTCAGATTTTGTTTTGATTTTTGCTTTATGCTTGTCAGGTTGATTGAGAAATGTGAATGTTTGGAAATCAGGCATGAAAGGGATTTGATTAGTGAATGTGCCTTTATATATATCAGAAATGTGTCTGAAAAACTTTGCCAGGATTTTGGGTGGATCCAGAAGTTTTCTACATTTCACAGTTTTTCATTGTGAAAAATCATCCCTGCTGTGGACTGAATCAAAGAAATTATTCATGGTTTATTTTCAATTTATTTTACATATAGATTCGATCTAGCAGCAAGGTGCTATTCATTTTAAGAAACTTCATGTAGCGATAATGCATTAGCAACAGAAAACTTAATAAGTGTAACTGAAATATTTTCTTTGATGAAATATTTGTTAGCCTTAAATCATATTTCATTGAAGTCCTACATGTAAAGCAAGTAATAATATTCCCCATTTGGTGTTTGACGATACATAATCATTCATTTACTTCATAGCTGGGCTGACACAGTTTAAGGTGAACTGCTGTGTTTTCTTGTGATGGGAACCTGGTCACAGGTCTGTGCTCTTGAAAAGGTCATCTGTCTAATTGCTTATGTTATTGTGTTTTTTTTCCTTTAAAGCAGATAACGCGACCTTCACAGGAAGACAAGACAGACGAAAAGAACGAAGAGGACAAATCGGAGAAATCAGAGAAGAAAGAGGACGAGGAGAAGAAGGAAGAGGAGGAGAAAGATGAAAAGGAGGACTCCAAGTATGTATCATGGTTTGTTCCTCTTTTTTCCTTCGTTGTGATGAACTGGTGTCAATTCACCCTTTTGCCCCTACTCCACTGTGAAATCTCAAAGGCCACATACCCAGTGAAAGTTTGGGTGTGACGAGCAGTTATTGTTCTGTTAGTACAGAATGCAGGATACACTCTCAAAATGGCATGTTTAGAGAAAATGTTGCCCTTTATTTTAGAAAGAACCTTTACGAGAATCGCGTGACTCTCTGACAGAGATGGCTGTTTGAGACCTGAGCTCCCCTACTCGGCGTCGATTAATCATCTGTTTAAGCTTCGGCTCTATTGATTAATCACGATTTTTTTTTTTTTTTAATTGGCAAGCACTGCTGCCAAAAAGACTATTTTAAAGCTATGGATTGAACCATCCATACCTGCAACTTTTATTTTATCTTATTTTAGAGACATTGTATTGCTGGAAGGTACCTTCGCCAAGGTCAACGGCGCAAAGGACAAGACTATTCAGAGCTGGGCAAAAATCACGGATAATTTTTTAGATAAACTGAGATTTTGACATACTGCATTTCCCTCTCTCCCCTTTTCCTTTCTCCTCGGTATTCTACATATCACTCTTTATGTTTTTTGTTTTGTTGTTGTTTTTTCTTTTTATATGTGGACAGTTTTCATCGCATCTGTCTGTATATAGTTCATGTGAACTCGGATATGTTCCTAGTATGGTAAATAAAATAAACAATTTTGGTCACAAAAAAAGAAAGAACCTTTGCGCTCAATCCACCCAAATAAGTAGGTGAGATGATCTGTTTTATGTGAGGTGAGCCTTATTGTAAGAGAAGCTTAAGATTAACCTCGTTAACTCATTTGGTTTGGAGGAGACTGTGCCTTACTGTGGACCTGTTATGTCAATACCAGAAATTCAGCAAAAAGTGGAATTCATCATCAAAAAACTGAGGTTTTTAACCTTTCTATGAATACACAAAAGGTAACTCTGTAGTGAACTCCGTAAGACTTACAGTATATATCATAGCAGGTGAGAAACTTGCACAGTGTCTGCATTTGCAACTCTTAGCTCTGCTCGCTCTTACCGTCTAAATAGATGTAACTGAATTGAGTTCAGTGCAGAGGAGAGGCTTTATTCCTCGTTTTTGCCTCCGCAGGGACATCAGTAAAGATAAAGAGAAGTGTGAGGGAGAGGAGGAAGAGGGTAAGGAGCAGAGCACGCCACGCGGCCGAAAGACTGCCAACAGCCAAGGCCGCCGCAAGGGCCGCATCACCACCCGCTCCATGGCCAATAATGAGGCTTCGTCTGTGGTGGCTGAAGAAGCACCTCCACCGCCACCTGAGCAAGGTAACATGCACAACTGTTATTTACTCTGTTAGCCAGAGCTGCATTTGTCACATACATATTTTTTTAGTGTGTGTTTTTATGCCTTGCTAACTTAAACATTCGATTTGATGGGATGCATTGAATATTATTGTCATTAATAAGCTTATTTAAAACAGTTGTGCTGCTTAATATTTTTGTATAAAACCATGATAAATGTTTTTCTTGATTCTTTAGTGAATAGAAATTTCAAAGTCTTTTGTAACAATTAACAACAATTTTTAGTGTCTTTACTGTCACTTTTGATCAAATGAATGCCTCCTTAGTTAATTTTTTTTTTTTAAATAGGGTGGAATTAATTCAAGCATTTTTTAAATCAAAATCTTAAATTATTGTTGTATTTTCTTTAATTAAAAGAAAATTTGTTGAAGAATGAAAGATTGAATGAAAGAAAAAATATTCATACATATATTTTGTATATACCTGTGAATTGGTGACCCCTTGAAGGAAGGAAAAATAAAATTTGAACTAGTCAGTAACTTGAGGCCAGCAGAAAAAAAAAATCTTACCTTATTGTTGAGTTATTGTTTTTGTTTGTTTGTTTTTCTGTCAAACTGTCAGTTTTTGTAAATCATGTAACATTTTTTAGAAGTTGGGAGGTGACTGTCATGTAACTGGGTTGACAATATTGTAATATACTGCAAAAGGTAGAAAGGTAACTAATCTGAATTGCACAAATATTGTGGGAAAACCTGAGAATTGGTTATCTGTCAAAACAAAATAATTTGCATATAATGAGTCTGACTTCCCAATACTAGGGCAAGTACACACAAGCACGAATGAGAGTAAGTTCTGATGGTTTATTCTGTGTGTTGCTCAGTTTTGCCAGAGCCCATACCCTCTTCTAAACCTGAACCAGTGCAGAGACCAGCTCGAGAGGCTGCAAAACCCTCTCTCGCAGCCAGCGCAGACACGCGAGGTAAGCGCTATGTTTCTCTCATAAAAAGATGCCAACTCTCTTTTGTTAAATTAGTTTTTTTCACATCCACACACTCAAGATCGTCGCAAGGTCAGACCAGAGCCAATGATTTTGTCTGCGCTGTGATTAAAAAAATTATATAATTCATATTTTCTCGTTATTTGTCTTATCTTAGAATTTTAGTGTAGAATGAGTTAAGCTGTTTGTTGATTAAAGATTTTTAGGCTGATCTGCCTCAGTGGTCTAACAGTGCTCGTCAATATCAAAATAATCGAGAGGACCAATCAAATCAAAGAAGCTGGGTCTTGTCACTTGTCAACTGTTTTATGATAGAAATGATCAGCGACCGCCTGTAATATACTAGTGATGCAAACTACTCTACTTTTATTGTAATTTTTGAATTGAAAATATGTTCGATCATGATTCATGTAAATCATGAATGAATGTGACGAGACAAGAAGCGTTGCATTTTTGACCTAGGCTATTAATCATGCGAATAAGAGTGAATGTGTGCACATTTTAAAATAAAATATAAATATAAACTGATTACTTCATAACTACAATTAGACCTATAACTTATTTTACCATTTTTATTTACTTATTTACTCTAAAGCACGTGAAAATTGCGTTCGTTACTTTACTAATTCCTATATAGCAACCCCATCGCACAGCATGTTCGCACAGGGCCTCTTGCGACAGCCCTGTGCAGTGCGAGTGCGATCTGTTCCTCGGTAACCTCATTACAAAGCCTGAAAGTCACCACAACGTGTGTGCATGTGTGGTTTGCTTAATGCTGTTGTGATAGAAGGGCTGTCAGACAGAAACACAGGGCTTGATCTTTGAGGCTCACAAAACAGCAGCTCTTCAGCATTTTCACTTCTCACTCCCTCGCTCTCTCTAGTGAGATTGTTTGTCCATTCTTTCCTATCTCCAAATCTCTCTTCTTCCTGCCACCCAACGCCAGACTCAAGGTCTCTGAGTTTGTGTTGCCGTGGTGACAGCGGGTGGAGGGATCTCCATGGAGACAGTAAAGAGAGGCAGGTAAACGCGGCGTGTCTCTGGAGGAGTTTGATTAGAGTGAAAAGGGGAATGAAAGGCCGGCCTGATTGTTTCATTTGGCATTTGGTGCCATATTAAAATGAATTAAGAGACCTCAGTGCTCAGTAATTAGTATTCATTACGTTTGCTGCTCAATGCAATCAGTGCCCACATCAGAAAGTGTGGGTGATTAATAGCGCTCTGTACCTTAAAGATCGGTCACCAATCGTGTTTTGTCATTCCCGCTGTTTCGTGATGGAGTCTCTTGTCTGGCCCTGCATTGTGATCTGATAGCCCTTGTGTGTGTGACGAGGGTCTTCCCATCTTGCCTGATGAAGTTTGCACCTGTGTTTACACAATTTTATCTTGTCATTCTCTGTCTTTAAAGTGGGTTTAAAGTTTTAAACAGGCACTCAAAAGCCATAATGCACCAATTCCACGTCTAAAACGGCATCAACATGACAAAGCAGCAGGGTACAAGCATATTAACATAACGTAAACACTGGCTAGTTGGTCACCAAAGAGACGCGTATTTGAAGAGTTTTAGCAGAGACTCGCCGGACTAGTCATCCAAACACTGGGGACACGCTCGCACTCTCGCATAAATGTCAGAGGTTCACACTGTGCTAAATCTGTCATAGTGTTTAGTCAATTTCAAGGAGACCCTCAGAGCAGGCGGGAGAGGAGAGCACAGCTCCGTCTCCCTCTCTCTCTCTCTCGCTCTCACTGTAGTTTGAGTGGAAATTATGTAGGGAGGGGTTGTTGCGCTGCTCACTTCAGCTTGGCTACTGTTATGAGACTGACTGTCTAATGATATGGGTGGGTGAGTGAGTGTGTTGATCTTAGACCCAGAAGGGTGGTGCTTCTGCACTCCTCCACTGTCTGCTTGAGATCAGCTGGCTGCACTCTCCGAGAGACAGCGAGAAAGAGAGACAGGAGTAAGAGAGAGGTGAGACTGCCTAGTTAAGTCCAGCGAGCACCAAGTAGGCAAAGCAATAAACTGAGCAAAGGACAGAACGCGGTTGAGGACAGACAGAGAGCCCGAGAGAGGGAAGTTCTTGAGGGGGGCGGAGGTCTCAAGTATGAACAGATAGAGAGGGAGGGTCCAAGATGAGCCGTGTCGTGTAGCGCTGCCTGAGTTCTCCTTCACTGACTCTGACGGTGTGTGTCGCTACAGGCGCGGTTGAAGCTGGAGAGACGTCTCGCTGGACAGAGGATGAGATGGAGATCGCCAAAAAAGGTACTGCTCATCTCCCTCCTTCTCTGGTTCTCAGTTGGCTTGGCTCTGTCTGATATCTTCACACATGCACAAACATTTCATCTTACTTTTGTTCTACTTATTTCTTTGTCTTTGTGGTTTTGCATATTTTCTGTGTTGGAAGTTGGTTGGGGTTGCATTTTTGAGCATCCTCTTTGTAATGACTATTCAGATCAAGACTGAGGGGAAGAAACTTAAGCAACTGTGACCGTTTGACACACTAGAAACTTTGCAAGACGACCATTCACCCCTGAACACTGTGAAAGAATGACAGGAATAGTGCAGAGGGCAAATGTTTTGCTCTGAGTATACAGTTTGGTTTCATTAAAATGAAAGCTTTTGGAGGGAATCTTACATGTCACCCCATAATTACATTTTTAATGTTTTCAGACTATTATGTAACATTCTTAATGTTTTCAGACTATTATGGCATTATTTTGTGACAATTTGGCAAATTTTTTCCACAAAATTCTAAAGGCAAAAACTTATTGTTATCAAACAATGCGCGCGTGTGTGTGTGTGTGTGTGTGTAATGATAATTGTACTATTTTAAATAGTCCCTTTATGTCTATATTTCACTTATTTAAATGTATTCCATTTTTTAAAGGCATTGCATTGTTTATCCAGCAGAAATGAGTTGTGCACTACTTTGATCAGCCATGTTCATCTGCACGTCTTACATGTGAATATCCAGCATTACAGATGTAATATTTGTGGTCAAAACATGAAATGAAACTCCAGTACTAATTACCAGTATTCACATTATTCTCAACAGTGAATCTACTTTATATTAAGATACTAAACATAAAACGCAATATCACAGATATTACAATATCTTCTTTTTTATCAGTATAGTTACAGGCAGTACAACAGATATTACCTTGATTTGTAGGTAATTTGCTATTTAGAAGTATAGTATAATTTCCTTGCATTCCAGTAATGAGAGATTGATTATTAGGTGTGGGAATGTGGAAGTAAAATATGCTAAATCTAAATGGTCCTAAAATGTGCTTTGTTTTCTTCAGGAAAAAATAAAGCTTGATTTATTTATTGGTGAAATATGACTGGGACATTATCTTGATGGCTTTCACAAGATTTTCTTGAACAGGCCTAGGTTTAGCTGCACACTTCGGTTTGCAGTTCTGTCTGCACAGTCGTTGTCAGCAGGAATGGACATAGGAAAAAAGGCTTCCTCTTTTTGCATTGAATACAACAGTGTAATTTATTTTCTGGATGGTGTTTTTGACTGATTGCATTAACAACCTGGAAATAAGGACAGTGAAAAATAGGTCATCTAAAAAAAAAAAAAAGGTTTCATTATTTTTAAGACATTTGAGATTCTTGGTGACGTGTACTCTTAAGATAATGATGAAGGCACACTTCTGTATTTGCATTTAGCAAATTTACGCACATACTATATCGATGGATAAACTCACAGACACATTAACACACAAAGTACCCCTAGAGCTTTTTAAAACATCAGTTTGCAGAAGTGTTTTCAGGTCAGACTGCGGTCATCTGAGTGCATTCCTTCTGCTTCCTCTTTCATTGTGCTCTTTTTCATCTTCTCTTTAGTAGAGGGGAAGTTCAGTCCACTGAGGAACAAACTTGAAGGTGTGTGCGTTTCTCTCCCTGTGTCTTTTGTACAGACCTCTGGTGAGCCATCAATGTCACTGCCCAGTTCAGTTTAATTGGAGGACAGTCTAACATGATTGGCTCGGGATTAGGAGAACTGCACATAAAGTTTCAGTATTTGTTTGGAGGAACTTTGGAGTGTTTTATATTCTGACAAGAATCTCTGTAGATGCTGTGCAGACACAAAAGGCGCTGGACTGTTTTTCAAAGTTCAGAAGTTCTTTAGATTGTTGATTTATTAAACAATGCACAGTCTTGATCAAGATCAGCCCGTGCTATAAACCATTGCGGCTCAAGTTGGTTGATCTTGAACCATGATGTTTGCAGTGATTCATTCAGTACTCAATCAGTACACCACACACAATTTCATTATGAGTCTAGGTGCTAGTTATGGTCTCCTTTCCAGCACATTCTGGCTAACTTATTGTACAAGTTATTATAGATAACTTATTATAGAAGTGCATTGACACTTTTATGCAGGGCCTTGATTTTAAGTGATCTAAACTAGGGGTGGGCGATATGGAAAAAATATCATATCACGATTTTTTTAGGAAAATCACGATCACGATTTTTTATCACGATTCTTTTTCAAGTTGGTTTTAATATTTTGCAAGTGGCTGTTCATTACAGCCAAACTAATGTCCTTATGTTAAAAACAAAGCCTTAGGTAACAAAATAAAAAAGAAAGGCATACATTTAGGCCAGTGGCGAAGATAAAAATCTTTGTCATTATTTTCTTTGTTATTAAAAAAATAAGACAAGATAAACATTACACAAATTAATATTCAAATTAAATAAATAGTGCTTTATTTTTCAGATGCACTAGGTGTATTTAGCAGTAGCATTGAAGAAAGTAATTAAATTAAACAAATATGAAATTAAAACACTACAGAGACTTCACTGAATAAATTGATTCTTATTAAAGCTACTATTAAAGTTCTCAGTCAGTGAGTGATTTTCTCCTTGTGTTTTTTTTTTTCTTTTACTAAAGAGATAGTTCCCTCAAAAATGAAAATGGTCTTAAGTTAAATAAAAGTTATTTTGAATAATGTGGGTAACCGAACAGTTGCTGGTCCCCCTATAGTTTTTTATTGGTTCTCTACTAGAAGTTAATGGGGACCAGCAACTGTTTGGTTACCCACATAAAAAAAATCGTTCTTTTGTGTTCAGCACAAGAAAGAAATTAATACAGGTTTGTAACAACATTAGAGTGAGTAAATAATGACAGATTATTATTTTTATTTTTTTTGGTGAACTATCCCTTTAAGGACGTGCGGCACTACTATTTATTCCTGTCGCTTTTAGACCAGCACGCGACGCGTTTAATATAGACGCATATTACACCAGATATTCTCTCAAATGTTTGCTTTCACTTTAGACATAGCCTGTTTATGTAAACATTGTGTGTATTTAACAGTATTAGCATAATAAGACTCGAAAGATAACTTAGTCCAGTATTCAGGCGGTGTTTCACAGGCTTCTTCTAGTGCCTGTGATTGTCGTGGGTAATTTATGCGGTCAGGAAAGCGCACGTTAGAACAGCACATCAGCACGTGAATTAAATGTTTAACCGGCAAGGCTTATGCAACTAATGAACTTTTGTGAATTTCAGTGTCCCGTACCTGTTCATTAACGTGTGATGTGTAGGCTGCGTCGCGTTGTACAGTTGAGAGACGGAGGCGCCAGAACTGAACTGATAGAATGCACTGTAACACGATACTACGATATTTCTTCAAAAGCAGATCGTGTAAACATTTTAATCGTCCACGATTAAAAATCGTCATATCGCACACCCCTAATCTAAACCTATTTTAAACCTGTGTCAATTCAAAACATCTAGTTCTGAGTACAAGGTTCTCAAATTTTATCAAAAGCGTGGAGTGAAATCGCATTCGGTTAGTGGAGGAGCCCCGTCCCATTATACGTTTTTAATATTACAGCTATCGAAATAAACAAATCGTGAGAGGTTTTTTTAAAATTTAGATGTATTCCCATCACATAAAATGCTGCTGTGATGAGAATTGAGCAAGCAGATGACAGTCTGTTGATCGCGAGAATGAAGATCTTATCATTGTAACGCAGTTTCTGCACTCTTTCACCAATGCAAATACGATGATGTACATACAGTGAGCTTCGTTTGTGCAGTGTATTTTTTTTTTTATATTTTTTTTGCAGTGTCATTATTTGATAACGAGTTGTCCAGATAAACTCACGCTATGTGGAAAGATTGTTCTGTGATCACTTTCTGTATATAATTTGTTCACAATTTAAAAAGATTTAAAACAGTTATTTTCATCCTACTAAAAGAAACGTTGTGAAGTTGATATTTTAGTTTCTGACCTGGTTGCAAAGTAGTTGTAGAGTTTTTGACTGCATCAATAATAATGCAAACGATGAGCTATATATTAAATATTCTAGCTTAAAAATGTTAGGCGAGAATTCTTCCCTTCTCCATCACGGCGTGTGTTCCCGCTATGTTGTTTGTTACCTAGTAACGAACGTACGGTGGCCGAGGATGTTCCGCCAACTTCCGTGTCTTCGCGCATCTATGTTGCCTAACAAACGCAATCTGGCCGAGATGCGTGCTGGCGGCAGGAAACTGGAGGGAACTGTGTCTGTGCCTCGTATACAATGTTCTATATAAAGCTTGCAGGAAAACTTGGTTGGTATTGCCTTTTCAGCATGAGAAATACAGGGTGTGGCTTATGAACTGGTTGAATTGCATCTGTCTCACGGCCAATGTGTGAGACTTGAGAACCCTGTTAGTACATCCAGGGGTTGAATTCCATCCCTGCTTGAGCATGAGTACAAATACAAAGTTTAATAGCTTAATTTGGGTGTTGGATTCCTTTTGAAATTGCTTAGTTGCATAATGTGTTTTCTTTGAACAATATATGTAAGGTACTGATAAAAAAAATCAGAGGGAATTTGTGCATGTGAGAATCACAGCCTCGTGGGTATTTGGCACTGTTGACTGACCTCATGGTGTCTGAGAACATCCAGCTAGTTGGAATATCTCAGTTGGCAGTTGGTGGTGTGGGCTTTCGTGATCATGGAGGTAATCAGTGACATGTGAACTCCTCTGACCTGGTCCAATCTTTCACTGTAATCTCAAAGGCACATCCAGTATCACAGACATCAATGGTTTTCTGTGCTGATTGTGTAGCTCGATTTACTTTATGGGGATTACTTAAAATATAACAAATAAAAAATAAATAAATAAATGGGAAAACATTGTTTATTAAATTTAAATCTTAGGCCATGTCCACACTATTACATTTTCTTTTGAAAATGTATATTTTCTTTCCGGTTTAGCCTTCCGTCCACTCTGAGACGGTGTTTTAAGACTTTTGGAATACGCTCTTCAAAGCGGATAAATTTGAAAACGCTGTTTTCACGTTGTAGTGTGGACTGTGAAGCCAGAGGTATTTGAAAACAATGATGTAAGTTTAGTCATGTGAGCCATGTTGTACTAATAGATATTCATTTCTACCAGTATTGTGTCTGTTATGTGCTATTCACTTTTACACTGCTGCTAAAATATGTTACATTGCACACTCTTCATATCACAGTCTTGCAAATATGACAGAATATGTGTACTCACATTTGCTGTGCTACGGTAATACAAGAGAGCAGTTGCGTTTTAGACCAAACATATGGTGACTGAGTGCGACCTGGACGCATAGGCGCCGATACCGTGGGTGCTCCGGGGCTCGAGCACCCACGGACAATAACGAGCACCCACCCACGTGTGCCAGACTGCCAGTAATATTAATTTAAAATTAAACATTGCAGTTGGTGCTATTTGAAGCGTCTGACCCGTCTGTCACACTGTGATTTGTTATCTCGCTGTCAGTCGCCTGCTCCATATCCTGTATCCACCAATCACAGCGTTTCTCGGGTGAAAACGCCTCTTTAGTGTGATTCCGCAGATTCCCGCTTCATTACCCACTATACAGTGACGTGCGTGCACGTGCATTTGATAATTAGAATCAGATTTCAGAGTGAGAATAACATGGACAGATTTGTGTGACATTGATTCATAATTTCCCATGAAGCTGATCGCGGTTAGTTAAACTTTTCATCTCCAATCCTGTCTGTAGCCTATTTGTGAAAAGTGGCGCTGTCCTGATTCGAAAGATAGCCTTACGGCTTTATTATCAAGTAAATAGTGTGTGTTCGTGTCGGCTGCTGTCCATTTCCCAAGGTTCTGAAATGCAAGCATTTTTTGACTACTTTTTTTTTTTTTTTTTTTTTTTTTAAAGGGCGTGCGCCCATGAGCACCCACGGAGGAAAACATAAATCGGCGCCTATGCCTGGATGCATCAGTGATGCTGAGATATTTTGCTAATTGAAATTAGAAGAACTATGCGATACCTTTAATTATTTATTTTTCCATCTGTATGATCTCAGTGAGCTTTTGTGAGGTTTCACGCATGCACAAGTAAGATGAATTTAGAAGTTTCTCATCCACACTGAAACACTGAAAATGCTAGTGTGGGCGGAGAGCGTTTTTAAACGGATACACTGTTTTCAAACGTATCCGGATTAATGTGGACGTAGCCTTATACTCACTAAAGCTGACCACTGCTCCTGACGCATGAATGCCTACACACCCTGAATGGACAAATACAAATTACACACATTCACACTGTAAAGTCGCTTCATGAACTGAATCCAAAGTTATTTATAATTGTTTATTCATTTTTATTTTCCACCAAATTGGGACCTTGTAAAAAACCTGAAAACTGGCAGAAGAAACCACAACAGTATGGATGACAAATCTACTGTAACAGTAAAATGGAAACGTAGAGTTGGATAGTGTGCCACTTGCTTTTAAGGCTTGGAAGCAGGGTCCAAACTTAACTCTTTGGCTCACCCACAAGTTCAAATTTGAATGGGATTGATTTGCCCATGTAGATTTCACATCAGGCTAAAGTTGGTCCCATGAATTTGCCACGTTGACCAACAGAATGCTTGGTATAAAAATTACTTCTGTGTGAATGGCTTTTCAGACAACAATACACTCTTCACAATGGACCTTTTTGCCCTCAAATTTAGCAGAAATCTTGATTTGACTGCAAATTTAGAGAGTGAGCGACTGTTGTTAAGATACCCATGGATAGCTATCCTTACTGATTTCTTGACCTAATATTTTTAAAGGATTTGTAATCCACTCGAGTTAGCATTTGGTTATCGTGTTTATATTGTTTTACATGTTCATGTTAAGGAAAAAAAAGAATATCCACGTGATCTGGTGAAGGTTGGATCCTCAGTCTGGTAATGATAAGGCCAGGTGCACAGAAAGTTTCTTACTATGCTTTGTTTTTTTTTGTTCTTAAACATGTCTCCCCCGAGATAACTTGAATGAAGCATACGTCTTGAGATCATTTTGCCATCAGATAAGTTATCTTGGCTCACTCAGGGGTACAGCTGTGCTTATTGCTGTCATGAATCACAGCTGTCTTTCCTCATTTGACTGATGTTTGCATTTTGTGTGATTTTATGGTGGTGGAGATATTTATTATGACTCAGTTTCAATTAACAATGTTTTTACGCTACATGTTGTTGATCCATTTGATCAAAATTAATTCCAATTTGTAAGGTCATTTATTTGTAAGGTCATTCATTAAGTCGACAACATTTTGTGATAAAATACAATCAACTTGTTAACAAGCTCCATAGTGTTAGTTATGAGAGTTTTGTGACACTTTGTTTGCGGGCTTAGGATTTCACTGCATTTATAGCCAACAAAGAAACATATGTATGCAAAATGTTGTTTTAAAAAAGATAATAATTATATATTGAATATTTGTGCACACTGCACACCCCTAATAAACGTGATTAATAAGGGTTTTGTTGCAGTTAGCAGTGGAAGGTGTCATTTCTCTATTCATTTATAATCTAACCCTCTTTCTCTTGTGCACAGGGCTGGTTGAACATGGTAGGAACTGGTCAGCCATTGCTAAGATGGTAGGCACTAAGAGTGAAGCTCAATGTAAGAACTTTTACTTCAACAACAAGAGACGTTACAACCTGGACAACCTGCTACGGCAACATAAGGTACAGGGAAAACATTTATCATGGAATAAATCTGCTACATCCAAACATTCCCATTACATGCTTGAAATATCTGATATTCAGTGATTTATCTCCTTTATTGGCCAACATATTCATGTTCTTGTACTCTAATGTTTCTAGATTCAATCTAGTGATTGATCATGTTATTGTGGTTCAGAAGTTTCTGCATCATTGAAATGTTCTTATAGGATATCTGATATTTTCCACGTGGTTGAGTCCTTGATTTTGATTAGTTGATGTACATTCCAAGGGGTTTATTATTTTTTTTGTAGTTCCATGTTATACACTAAACATTAACACTACCTTTCAAAAGTTTGGGGTCAACTAGCCTGCATTTATTTAATTGGCAAAAGAGTAAAAACAGTGATATTCTGAAGTATTTTTGCAATTTAGAATAACTTTTCTATTGTAATATTTATTTTTTTTAAATGTATTTTATTTATTCCTGAATTTTTATTATCATTTCTCCAGTCTTCAGTGTCACAAGAACCTTCAGAAATCATTCTAATAATTATTATTATCAATGTTGAAAACAGTCTTGCTGCCTAAGATTTTTGTGAAAACTGTGATATATATATAATTAATTGATAAATAGTTCAGAAGATCAATATTTATTTAAAATTGAAACGTTTTGTGACATTATAAATGTCTTTAATGTTACTTTTGATCAATTTAATTCATCTTAATAAAAAATAGGTTTACTGACGCCAAAATTATAAATGATAGTGTTAATGTGATATCTCTCCTGGTTACTTGTTTTCTAGTTCAAAAATAATGTTTTCCTATAAGTCACAGTTGTTTTTGCTGTTTTTTCATAATGCTTATAAACTGGTGTTAAAAAGTAGTTACACAGAAAGGGTGTCTTAGGAAGACAAACAACTGAAATGTCTATGGATGTACATGATTGTGGTATAATCTATTTTGTACTATTCATTGCAACTGTTCCTAACTATACTATGTTGCTGTGTGCAGGATTCCCGGCTCGGTAGAAATCGAGACTCATCACAGAGCGATCCTGCGCCTGATGAGGATGAGGAGAGTGACGGTATGATCTCTCTCTTTGGTTTCAACACTTTTAGAGCCGCTGCTTCCAACGTAAACAATAATGCTTAAACACCCTAAAACCCATCGCTGTCAGTCTCTTTCTCTGTGACTCATGAACCCAGTCTGATTAAGCAGAGAGGAAGAGGAGCAGTGGGGCTATAATGTAAAGAGAGCAGAAACAGACTGACACAGAAAGAGAGGGATGAAGTCATGGAGCAGTAGTGCAGTGTGCTGACCTGTCTGACTGCAGTGCGTTTGATTAGATTTGACAGCAAAACCCTAGACCGCGCTGCGCTGCCACAGAGGTCAACATCCTCCCTCTACTTCTGTCTGTACGTTTAATGAGTGAGACTCAGGAGCAAATAAGGGCAGATGAAAGGGAGAGGAAATGATTGAATTAGACAAATCACAAGAAAAGAGAGTGGAAATAGAGGCGCTTTGCAGAAGGGATAAAAGACCTGTACTATTTCTACCTGCCATTCTTGCTCTTATGTAAGCGTTCCCTGACTATAAAGCCTCAAAGTATGCTGGAAGGAAACCGAGTGCTTGTGCTTTTCTGTTTGATCTGTTGTGCTATTATTCAGGTACTGTTGTGAGTGATGGTCAGTCATCTATTTATATAGTGCTTTATACAATACAGATTGTTTTTAAACCTGCTTTGCAGTGATAAACAGAAAAATAGCTATTCGGTGATGCAAACAGAATCCAGTTCTGCTGTAGAGCAGCTATAAAAAGACAGTAGTATACTGTCATTATTCAGTTGAAATTAGTTCAGTTTGCTTTATTAACTCTAAAGTTTGTCATAATTGAATGGGCTCAATTCATTTCAGTTCAGTCAAGTCAATAATATTTCCAAATTATAAATGTCCCAGATTAAGCAAGCCAAAAGTTGACAGTTGCAAGAAACCCAAAGTCCATCTGTGACACCAGTCTGAGAAACCTTGGGGATCCCATTGGGTGCCTTTTTGTTCTCTACACTTTCTTTCACCCCATCTAGACTACCATTCAAAAACATCTGAGGTATTTAATTCCTGTGATGACAAAGCTGAATTTTCAGAATCATTACTCTGGAATTTCAGTGTCACATGATCCTTCAGAAATCAATCTAAAATGATTCGCTGGTTTGCTCTTCTTGGTTACTCCGCACAGCAAGAGGCAGGAATTTTAGATGTGGGAGAGGAGTCATTTTGAGAAAATGGAGGAGGGAGGAAAAAATATTTGCTTTCTAGTTGTTGGATTTGTGCTTTTATAATAGATATTTAGCGATATTGATCAAAAGTTACAGTGAAGACATTTATAATGTCAGAGATCTTTTAACTGTTCTACAACAAATCAACAAATCCTGAAAAAATGCATCACTGTTTCAACAAAAATATTAAGCAGCCACAACTCTTTTTAACATTAACAATAACAAAAATGTTTTTGAGCTGCAAATCATCATATTAGAATAATTTCTGAAGGATCATGTGACCCTGAAGACTGCGGTAATGATGCTAAAGCATTGGCACCACAGGAATAAATTACATTTTAAAATATAATATAAGGTTTTTTTACTATGGCTGTTTTTACTGTATTTTTGATCAAATAAATTGGTGAGCATAAGAGACATCTTTCACTTATGTAGTAATAACAGGAACAATTGAACGGTAGTATGAATGCTACACTTCCTGTAGCATTTTACACTTTTAAGTTACACTTCCTGTGGCCCTGAAGGGAGTATCATCACGTGGCGAGGGTGGAAAGGTAGTGATTAGCCTAAGGATGTTTGCTGTCCAGAAGTGCATTAGCTTGATTGCTGTGAGACTGCGTGCAGTGAATGGTGACCTCAAATGCCACCTCCGCTTTGTCACTGCAGGGTTGTTCGGGTTTTCTGCTTCTCTGCCTTTGTGTTTTTGTAGCAGAGATTGAAATATATTGAATTTGATATTCTGTGCCCTCTTTGCACAGATGAATGAAGAATTTAAAGAGGATGTGATGGCTCAGTCATACGCTCTTTCGTCTCCTTTCCTCAGGTCCCGATAACAGTTCGGACACAGAGAGTGCACCGTCTCCATCTCAAACCGACCCCTCCAAACCTTATGACTCGCTAACTCATCCCAACTCAGCTCTGGACGGCGCATCGGACCTAGATGTCACGGCAAACAAAGGCCCGGTGGCAGATGACAAGGGCCAGGAGCCTCCGTACGGCGAGCTGCAGGTGAAAGTAGAGAAGAGTCCAGAAGGAGGTGCTGGAGACGGGCTTCCTGAAGATGAACGAACAAACTTGGCATATGAAATGCAGATCCATCCAAAGAGTGAGCCGCAGGATGTGGAGATGACTGCTCCCAACAGTGAAAGAGGTCAGGTGCAAGTGAAGACTGAGCCGGAGGTCAAGGACAAGGAGGAGAAACAGGGGGAGCAGCACCACTCTGATAATGACTCTAGCGCCACCTGCAGTGCGGATGAGGATGTGGAGGTTGAACCTGACCGACAAAGGTTAGAAATGGCTGGTCCTGTTTTATGATAGGGTGTTTGTACATGCATTGCTATTGGTTTCTAGTATAAATTCCCAGGGAATGCAAGAATGTTAATGTAAATTGTAAAATGTTAATTCAACTTCTTGTTGAATACAGTAAAAAAAAAAAAAAAAAATGAAGAGACCAAATAGAAATCTGGTGCGACTGAAAACAAATTTTGCCTCATTTATTACTATAAGTAATAAATTACTTCCTTAAAGTTTTAATTTAAAAGTTTATATTTTTATTTTCCTACCTAAGTGAATGTTTAGCTGTGCAAAGATTTTACAATTTTATATTGTACAAAAATAGGGGGATAGAATGAATGAAAGAAAAATCACTTCCGGACATTTTGTTTTTCACAGTATCCATAGCTAATGTGTTTTATAAAACGGTTAGTTCCAAACCTTGATTCCAATTGGTCAATAGCTGTTTTTTTTTCTAGTGGAAGGAAGGCTTTTAGTGATTTTACTTCATGAAAGTTGCACTAATACATATTTTTAATGTGTGGTAACCGTTTTATAAAACCAATAAGGTACTCGAGGCAAGTGCTGTATCGTGAATACTCCGCTCTGCATCATGCACTTCAGCTGTTACTTATTCATGATACAGCACGACCCCTCGTACGTTATTGCTTACTTATTCTCTTTATTCTCCTTCCTTCCTGTGGCAGACTTTACTCTCTGGAGAAGCCGTCAATGCTGGGCGCTTCAGGCTCAGTGGTCGTATCTTCAGCCAATCTCCTCAACATGCAGCAGCTTCGGGCCGCCACCATCCCCCCTATGGTCAGTCCCCATAGCCTCTACCCCCACTTAGCATTCAGATATGCCCCTCTGGACAGAGACAGGGCCCAGCCACCCCGCCACGTGAGTCCTGCCTCCGTCTTCACCTCCGCAGATCACGCACTGTGATTTGCTTCTGCGGCAATCAGCAAACAAATCAGCAAATGCCAATTGATTTTCCACACAGTGAAATCATGATGAGTGAGAATATGTTTGTTTGCTCTGGGCTGATCAGTTGTGTGGTTTGGAGGCTGTCTGTTTTGGCGAGTTGCTGTGGCTGTGAAATTAATTTAATCTAATTGAGGCCCTGATTGGCTGTTCACAACGTTTACATAATAAAAATGTAGCGTCTTGTTGCAAAGCAAATAGCTATTACGTACTAATGGGATTAAGTCATTAAGTCATGCACCTTTACATTAGTTTTATTTAAATACTTGATTGTTTAAAATTTTCCAAGTGATCATTTTTTATGTACATCAATCCAGCATTTTCCCACATTTGAATCCTCTCTCTTATGAAATGGTTTGTTTTAGGTTTCAGCTCCATTTGGTCACAGCAGCGTTTCTGGAGGTCCATTGAGCGGCTTTGCTATGTTCCAGCACCAAATCAAAGCTGTGCATGAGTCTGTGCAGGAGGACAAACAGAGACTGGACCAGAACGAGTCTGATCGCAGACCACGAGTCACCACCCGCAGCCCCACTGTACTGGACAGAGAAGGTGAGTCAGACACAGGAGTGAGAGAGAGAATGCACTAAAATTGCTTGCATCTGGTAAATTGAAAAAAACTCATCAATCCATCAGCAAGCATTCCCTCTGAGTCTTTTCTTTTTGCTTTGTTATTTGTTCAGTATGCACTTGAGATACTTGGAGAGTAGATTCAATGGCTGACAGCCTTTAGTGTTAAGACCACCTAAACCGAGACCAAGCCGAGACCAAGACCAAAGTGTGTTGAGACCAAAACAAGACCAAGATCAAAGTGTGTCGAGACCAAGACCAAGACCAAAGACCTGTTGATACCAAGGCAGGGCGAGACCAAATCAAGACCAAACCAGCACTCCTTAAATGCATCTAAAATATCCACATTTACTGCATGAGAAATGTCTGATATTTAATCAACACATACATTTAGAATTATAAGACAGACACTATATAGAGCTGTTACCAATCAAATGAAATCACCAAGCGGCAGCCTCCCTGTCTCTCTCTTGAAACCAACACGGAAATGAATTAAACTGCAATTCATCTACTGATCGCTTGAGGCTGGCAGCAAAAGTGAGTCAAATCTCCCCCATGTTATGTTTACAGCCTAAAGCAAAAAGTGGTTTTGGTCTATATAGCTAATTTTGCCCTTCATGACAACTGTGAGAGGAGTGAACGTATCCGTTTAAATTATATTAAGCCTGTATAATTAAGGGCGTGCCCACTGGAGTGACAGGTGGATTGCGGCCATTTGTCTGCTGTCTGTTTAGCGTCACTCTCAGCTAATTCCAGCAGCTGCTATACTTGCCATCTCTGCCATGTTTGTTCTTTTTTGGGATTATTTCATTCAATTTAATACAGGCATTATACCTTCGCCCACGCCGTTGGATTCCATCGTTGTCGAGTATCGAGAGAACAACCAGCGCTGTATTTCCAGTTGTTTTCCTAGCATGCTCTTACGTTAATGTCTGTCTGACAATTTCATTGCTAAAAACATCTATAGATGTATAGACCACATGTGTTGTGCTCTGTTGCTCTCATGGAACAGATATAATTATTTAACTTTTTATTGTTAAATAAAAAGTAGCGTCAGATAAAATCCTGCAAGTGACCGTGCTTTCTCTCCTTCCGTGCAGTAAATGCACACCCTTGAATGAGTGTGGATTTCTAGTGCATTTACTTGAACTTCTGAGGTAATATCTTTAACCCATTTGAGAAACTGCGAGGCGGCAAAAATCTGATTTTAAAATTGCACTGAAAGCTCTTTACAAGCTTGACGTGCGATGCCATGATGACTGACATGTATGTGCATGAATTACTGTCACACGCACAAGTTCAGAGCAATATTGTAAGTTACTGCATGATGATACTTTTTTTTAGCAGAAAAATAATACATCATGATACACAGTCTCGCTTTTAGTTACGTTTTTTAATTATTATAATATTTCGAAGGGCAAAAACATGAACTTTAACTATTGGCTTTACTTCTTCGATCAGCTGTTCGACTTTCACGTGAGGCCAGTAGCATATAGCATTAGCACCTCAGCTCCACCCAAGTCATGCTTCTTTGCCTATTTGAATTTATTCGGGAGTGACGACAGGTGACGGGCTGCCAAGATGCCGAAAACTGGCCACGCCCACTTTGGGCTTCAAAAATGCTTTTCAGAAACCAACGGGTGACGTCACTAATGTCTATGGAAATCACTAACAATAAATATCTTTGCACTGCAGAGGGGGCACAGAAGGTTAATATAAATTGGAACAATTATAACTGCATAAATAAGGTGGAGATTAATGTTGTTGTTATTGATTTTATACAAATGTAAAAAAAACAACATCATATTTGCAATAGTACTCATATTTATGAAAACAGCTATCCTGCTCTTGTTATGTTGCTTGATTATATGTTATAATATAAAAAACAAGATCTCATACAAGTACTGCTTGTATTCAATCATATATTTAAATACAAATGAGCTGCTTCTCCCCGCCCTGCTTTCCAGAAGAGGACGGATGCTGTACTGCATCTAGGACATGTTGTTGCCCACATTAAAGTTAAAAAATGTTTAAGAAAATAAATTGGCCTATTAAGTCTTATTTGGTGCTGTGATGAGCATAATAGGGGATTTAAATCTTGGGGGGTTCACAACCAGAAGTCATGCGTTGTTGTGGCATCATTGTTGTGTCAACAACACACTAAACATTCCAAGATGGCGGGCGCACTGACATGTCTGGAGCGGTCTAATGTGGCATATGCTTATCTAATGTGATGAACACCTTTGTGAATACAAAAATCTGAATGCCTGTTTAAAACATTTAAAAATGGTTGGAAACTGAAAGTAGCGCAGCTGCTTTTTTTACGGGGTTACCATTGTAACAGCTGCATTTTTTGCGGTGCCATCTGCTTTTAGAGTGTGAATGTGTATTTTCATTCAGCGCGCCTTCACTCTTTCCACCATGCTGCTCAACTGTGTTGTGGTTGTTTACATCAGAGTGTGCGCATGGCTCTTTGATGCAGCTCACACACAGTGTTGTACATTTTAACCGGTTTATAGAAATGTTGTTTTAAAATTCATTCTAAAAATCAGAATATTTTGTAATAAATAATTATTCACAATATTTTAAAGTGCCCGTGATAACAATGCTGTGGATGTTCATTATTGTGATATATCGTATTACCGTATATCTGATTCGGCAAATGTCTAGATGCAATGAGGGGTTGCCCACTTCAACATGTTTCACTCGATTTTACACATTTCAGGCACTTTTACATTTCACATTAACAGATGAATAGCCTGTTGTGAAAATCAAGTTGTGACTTTTTGATTAATTACAAGGTCAAAACTATTTTTTTTTTAAAGAAAAATAATGTCCAGAAAACATACTGGCATGGCCAGTTTGGATGACAATGCCCATCTTCCCAAACTAATCCTATGCTAAAATAACATTGGTCACTTTTAGCTTGGGAAAACTCTTGACCTGAAGAACTGTCTCTAAGGGGAAGAGAGGAATGAATAATACAAAATTGAGGTTACAAAAACACCCTTGAGACAGACAGAAAGACAAGCAGATGGACTGCTGCCTAACCAAAAGATTGTGATGTGCCTGTAGTGCCTCTGTTCTATCCTCCCATGCACTTTCGCTCGATTTTTACATGCCGAGAAGTTTGAGCAAAGACAGACGTTTTTCTGTTTTTCCTCCTCCTCCTCCTCCTCTCAGTTTTATAATGGGTCTTTGAAGGGTGTTGAATGCGCAGGAGAGAGACAGTGGACTTTGCTCTTCTCAGCTAAGAAGCACAGTGCTGTTTTTGATAGAGCCAGACAGAAGCACCCAACCAAAAGGAACATTAGGTCACTCTAGTGTACTGATATCCATTAGAAACACCAAGTTTTGCTCGACCTCTTTCTCACAGACCTGCCTTGAAATTTCACTTTCCAGAGCATTTACAGCGATAGCACTGAAATAAAGGGGGTGGGGGGTGTACAATGGTTTTCGTGTATTTAGAGCTGTCTACAGTGTTAAAGAGATGGATCCTCATGCTAAACATGGCCAAAGTTTTTTAAAAAAAATTTGATGACAGATAATTTCTCTGCCGAAAATCTCACCTTCCGGGTTTTTTTTTCCGATCGTGAATCTAATGACGTAGACGAGAGTGGAACTCCTTATATGAACCCTTCTCTCGGAAAAGCGTGCCCACGCAACACGTCGACCAGAGGACCATCATACTACACTTCTCACATATACACCTTTTAAAGAAAAAAAAATACAACAACATAAAGTGAAAATTAGTCATTTACAAAAACCGCTAAGCAAATACTAGTTATACAGTTCCAGTACACACCACATAGAGACGTCCTGCTGTAGTCGTTGCTGCTGCTGCTGCTCGTCTTCAATTTCAGCCTCGAGATCTGATTCAGGATCAAAAATGTATGGCTGAATCTGATTGTTAGCCATGGTTTGTTCCAGACACTCAACGCAAAAGCTTGGCGCGCTCTTGTATGGGGGGCTTTGAGTCTTTGAGTATGGTCTGAATAACATGTTTTCATGATCCACTAGTAGAGGGGACTGCAATTAGAATAGTGCGGTTGTCATTGTTTTGTGTCTTTGCCAGTCTGCTTGATGTCGGAGCGTATCTGATAGCCTTTCTTCTCTGTCCTGTCCCAAGGTAAGCCGTTCGCTTACATGCCATATGATCTGAAGCTGATGGAACAGGAAACTCATGGTGGAGTGGGCAGACCTGGCTCTCCATACAGACTCTCTCCTCGGGAGCCTAGCAAAGCCTCACCCCAGCCCGATGGCAGTAACGCCACTCGCTATAGTGTACCTCCAGGTAAGCAGTGCATGCATCCCGTATCCAGGCACAATTTTATCGAAAGGCAGATTGTTTTTGTTTGGGCACCAAAATGAACACTCGCCAATTGAGAGTACAAATTGAGTGCAGCCAAGAACGATAACCTGACCCTCATTGATGTAAGCAACATGAGTGATTCAAATGAAAAGCATACAAATGGTCTTCTAAAGAATACGTCATCTATGAGTGTTTTATCTCAGTGAAAAACTTTATCCTCAAGACAATTATAGAGTGCCGAAGTGATGACGTCACTTTGTAGGACAACTTGGAAGTTAGCGGCACATGGGTTCCCTCGATCTAAAAGCATTGCATTTTCCCCATAGACTTTTGGAAAATCGCAAAAAAAAAAATCTGTGTTCAACAGATCTATCTGGTCTATCAAGATAATCTTTACAAGTGAATCCAAAATGTATACATTTTGAAGCCTATATAAAGTTGAAAAAACACAAACCGACACAATACCGGTTTAAAAAACCACAAGCAGGTTATAACTGGTGTGTTTTATGTCATAGATCAAAACGTGAAAATATTTAGAGGTTTTCTTCACCACAGACCTTATCCTTCAGGCTTTAGACTTTAGGGCGAGGGAACCGGAACTGCTAAAATGCTAACTCACTTCCGCGTTTTGGCCTACAAAGTGACGTCATAACTTCGGCACTCTGTTATCTTTAAGAAAAGTCTCTTGTGCTCTCTAGTGTTGCACGATTAATCGTATCGCAATTGTAATCGCGATGTCAAACCTATGCGATTATATAACGCAAAATGCCGCGATTTTTTAGGGCTATTAGGGCTATTAATGCAGCATCTCTTCTTTTTTGTCATGCTTTGACTAGTGTTACATGATCCCGCTCTTATTCGTGCAAATGCCTTTAAACCATTTTGCACACAACAAGAAGTCAAAAGAGAGCACGCTGCCTGTGAATGTTCTGAATGTGACTCACAGAAAGATGCGCGCCATTATAATGCGCATGCACAGACCGCGTGCCAGAATACAGTTCTCTTTCGAGCTTGAACGAACAATAACACACACAATTATGCCAAAATGCCGTTTTGTAGAGTACCTTCATAACAGAAGAGCAGTCTTATGATGGACAAAAAGAGTTGTGCTTGGGAGAGAATGTGCTTGTAAAGGGCCAGCAGCGAATAAAGCACTCTGTCAGTAAAGCTAACCAAAGAACAAAGGGAACACAGAAACTTACTCACTGCTCTTGACTAAAGAACTTTTGTTGCTTTAATAAGGATTAGTCTATATATAATTTATAATTCATGCAGTGCAGACTCTTTGATAACTTTATTCAATTTCTGTATATATCCTACCTGTTAAGACAGCAAGAGCACACAGGTAAATATGGCATTTATTATAGGTTTTTGTGAGGATTGTTTGAAGTTCACTTAATGTTGGAATCACTTGATGAAATCACTCTAATGTTGGATGGCTATAATTAACGTTTAAAATATGGGGGGGTGTCATCATTTTTATCCAGACATCAATGGTTTATTGATCATTATAGGTGTTATCAATCATTTAGTTGTTGTTGCCACTTTGAGTTGAGAAATACACATTAATACACAGAATGATCAATAATCTGTGTGTGCATTTTATTTTAGAACCAAGCAAGTTGACTCATTGTTTTAGACCTGCATATAGACTTTTACACGAGTTGGAATTTCAGTCATTAGCACGCTTGTAACCTGACAGTGTGTCGCTAGCAGACTGATAAGGAACCAGACTCCCGCTTCTACTTGTTTTAGAGGAACATGTAAGGTACATAGCTGTTATTAGTCAGGTCAGCGAGTTTCTTCCTGAAGGAAACCTTGAAGCTCTCACGAGGCTCAGTCCATGTGACTGATTCCCTTATCAGCCCTACCCTTACAACTTGGGAACTGTTCTCATGGAGACAAACACTTATAGAACACACTGGACGTTTCTATTGGGGAGAGTACAAATAATGTAGTTCAAGTAAACGGAATGTTTTGGTAGGACTGTCGCTCCTGCAAGTTTATTTGATTTGTGATGAATTGGGAGAACAATGATCAGGTTTCATGACGAACTTTGGTACGAGTCTTCGGTCTTCAGTGACCTCTAACGTGAGGACCTAGATTGAGCGGAATGATTGATGTTTGCATTATTGACCTGGTAAATAAGACTTTTTCTCTCTGTCCTACATGCAACATGGTACATCAATAAAATGACCACTACTGGTGATACAACTGTGATTGACAGAACAACTAGAGAGATCACACATACTGGTCTCCAAGAATAGAAGAATAGGCTTTAAACGTTTCAGATCACTCTGCCACCGCTGAGAGCGAGCAGAAAGCAAGAGCAGTTCTGTTTTTTGGCCACAGGTGTCAGTCCCGAGTTTAAATTTCAGGAAAACGCATGTAGCCTTTTTATGATTCTTTTGATGAATTGAAAGTTCAAAAGGACAGCATTTTTTTTAAACTAATTTTATTTTTTTGTTTGTTTAAACAGTGCACATGTATGGCGTGATGAAGCTCTTAAGTCGAAACAATAGATCCCTATAGAGCTATTCACACCAGGCCTGATAAATTGACTGTTGTAGGTTGTGCAGTCGATGATGTCAAAGCAAAATGGAAAAACCTACGAGGTGCATACTTGAGGAAAATATATTCTCGGTCAGCGCCACCTATCGTGCAGGCGTGAATTAGCTCGAGGCAGTCAATCATTTCACATTCAGTGTAAAAGCTCAGTTCGCCGGTGATTCACTTTTCTGTGCCGTGCTCAGTGTGAGAGTCTCTTAAGAGTATTTACTGTCACTTTTGATCAATCTTTCACTTCTCGACTGCATTCCCCAATCCCCAGTTAATCACATGGCCAGCCTGATACAGGCATTAAAACAGTTGCTCTGAATGAGAGAATGAACCATGTAAAGATCAAGGCAGGCTTCTGTACTGTTAGACCTGAATTGTTCTTATTTGTGCATCAGAATCATCGATACTGATAAGCCGTTATAGCATGAGAACATCACACCCTGCACTAAAGAACCACAGAGACCATCTCAGCTCTAGTTAAGAGGCCGCTGCTTTTTACACTGCAGGAGACAGAAAGATTCGTGACTCAATATTTTAAAAGAGCTGAGATGAAAGACTGGGCTGTCTGGAAAGTGAAAAGGAAATAAGTGCTTTTAGTGAGCAGCAGTGAAGAGAGAAGAGCCCTCGTCGTGCTAAGAGCTTCAGATTAGACTCTGGCCTGTTTTTCTTTGTCTGGCTTTATTCAGGGTTTAGTTTGAGGCTCTCTGAATTTGGGTCAGCTTTCCTTTTAACCAGCTCTTTATTTTGACTCGTATATTAAGCTGGTCAGTTTTGTGAAAGGTTTTATGCACTTCCTGCAAAAGTTTGGTAGGTTGTGTGTAGTAGGTCAGAAGTATTGAGCAGTTAATCTGACCTGCGAGAGCTGGAGTCTACATTTAAAGGTGCAGTACGTTATTTCTCAAATTCGTTGCTGAACGTTGTGGACATTTGAAATCAACTGCTCCGCCTCCAAAGATCACCCTCCAATTCTAACCTCCCTGCTCCGAGACGGTCTTGAACCCCGATCGCTGGAAAGTGAGGCAGGTGCACTAACATGGCTGCTAAACAATAAACACTAGCTCACCTCTGTCACACACGTAATGCAAGAGTAGATGTCTTTATTTATCACAGCAGAAGCGCAACAAAATAGTGCTTCACGAAAAATAAAGCAAAGATGATGAACGAATGGCAAGGAAGCATAAAAAAATGTATATATATATATATACACAATTGTAAATACAAACAAGAGCTTGTTGTTAGTCGCCAACAGCACAGCAGCAGCTCAGCTGTTTTCAGGGCTTCCCACTTAGCTATCTCCAGCGCTGGAAAGCTTTTCTAATAGTAACGCTGGTCCTAAAGCTCTTTTCTGATTAGGGCTGCACGATGAATCGCAATAAAACCACACACGATTTGTTTTGTTGGACAAGAGGTTCAAAAATGCTTCTCATGTTTGACGTGTGTTGCTTTTTTAAATGCACATTATAAGTGACTCAACTCACAGTGCTTTCAGATGGATGCGCTCTTCCAGGAACAACGCGACACTGCAACTAAACCCAAAATAATTCAGTGTTTTATTACAATATTGTTTTCTTTATAATGTTATGTAATATGACCATTGTCGTTTGAGCCGTATGAACATTGCCACTGAGCAGCGCGCGCTAAAGATCACGCTTTAGCATCAATTCTTAACCAAACATCCAATATGAAATAAAGCAAATACAGATAGGGGTTACTTACGCAAAATAAACTATTACAACTTACATTTGCACAAAACAAAAGGCTGCGAATGCACCAACTTATTGTTTGTCATGATGAAGGTGTAAAATAGTCCCAAACATGAACATGCACGCGCATGGTTAATCAATGATCGATAAGTTTTATCGATTAAATGTCTTATCGACAATTAATTGATCGTCGATTAATCGTTGACATCCCTAGTGACAAGCCATCTTGATTTAAGTGAGATTACATGTAAATTACACAAAAAGGAAAACAAAAAGTATTCTTGTCGTTTGATAAACTTAAGATTGAGCCACTGTAGTCACTCTGACTATTTTAATGATGTCTTTCATAACTTTTGGGCCGGCCAGTTTCAATCCCTTAAGAAGCCTAAGGAGGAGTGAGCCAGCTCTCAGATTTAATCAAAAATATCTTAATTTGTGTTCCGAAGATGAATAAAAAAGAAAGTCTTACGGGTTTGGAACAACATGAGGGAGAGTAATTACAGAATTTTCATTTTGGGGTGAACTAACCCTTTAAGCCACTGATAACAGTCTAATGCAGTTATTAGAGAGAGACAGAGAGAGAGAGAGAGAGAGAGAGAGATTAAGCTTGTGTGAATTTCCTCAGACTGTGCATTTCTCAACAGTGTTCAGCACCAGCGTTTACTAACATCGAAACTGATTATTTGCAGTGCACCTCGCTAGTGAGAAATGTTATGTAGATTTAAATTAGCTAAACTATTTTAATGATAAAGTGACAACACGCATGTGTGTGTGTGCGTTTGAGTGTGAGAGAGAGTGCAAGGAAGAGATATGCACTTTTTCATAATAACTAATAAATAATTTTGTGGCAAATAACGTTGAAATAATTTGTATTTTTTGTCCTATTGTTTACTACCATTTATTTGCTCGGGCAGTGTCGATGTGGGTATTAGTTGTGTGGGCTGTAAAAACCTTTGAAATAACAGAAATCATTTGGCGAAGTAAAATGGAACTGTAATGCAGTCAAGACATGCCTGCAACTACTTTAGCCGTGCGTTTCCCTGAAAATAATTGCGCACCTTAGAATGTGTGTCAACCAATCAAATTCAAGCATTCAACATCCCCAAGTGAGGATAAAGAGTGATCCTCTTTTGCCTGCCTCTTTTCAATCCTTGTTTCTCTTATCCTTTTATTCCCACAGTTCTTCAGCCAGCACCAAACCAGGCTGCTCAAAACCTTTCAGATGTCCGCATGACGTTCTCCCGCCACAGGCCGCCCAATATTCCATCTCCTCCACCCCTCATTCCCACCTCTAAACCTACAGACAAGCCCTCCTTCATTCAGGGGGGCTCCATTTCACAGGTAAGAGTTTTTGGTTGTTTTTGCTTTTTCATTTAACAAATATATGATAGTGATTTCTTATTGTTTATTCAGCTCCTATATTCAGCTTGGTTGTTATTTAACCCTCTGGGGTCTTTGAGATATTTTGACATGCCCTGACATTTGTGCTTTTTTCAGTTGCTTATAAAAGTATTAATGGCACAGATGAAATTACCATTTTGACTAATGGATGTTGTCGCCTAGAGTTTTTGCTTCAAAATTATCTGAAAATCATCCTGCCTAAGCATTCACATAAAACAATAGATTGTTTTAAATTGTGAAATTTTTTTGAATATGGCAATATGCAAATGAGAGAACAGCCCAACCCCCTCATGAATAATTAGGTGGCCTTTCATTCAGGTGTCACACTAGAAAGAATGCGATGACTATATATATATATATATATACATACATACACACACACACACACACACACACACACACACATACATACATACATACATACATACATACATACATAAATACATACATACATATATATATATATACACATTCACCTACAGGATTATTATTTATTCATTTATTTATTTGTTAGAGGTTGCACGCCTCTGGAGCAACTAGGGGTTAAGTGTCTTGCTCAGGGACACATTGGTATCTCACAGTGGATTCGAACCCAGGTCTCACACATCACGCTCTCAGTGGGCGTGTCACATCAACACGTCATACGCTATAATTAGCTGAAAGGAAAAAGACTGACATCTCTCTCTTTTCATACAGATAAGAGAGAGTTTCAGCTTCATAACAAAAAATCCTTTGTGCCTGTGTGACAAGTATTTACCTAATTCATTTTCCGACGCGTTCATTTTCCGACGCGTTTCAGAATGAACTTCTCTGACAGAGAAGTTCTCTGGTATTCCACTCTGACTTGTCTTCTTCAACCCATGCCCTTCAGGGAACACCGGGAACATACCTTCCATCTCAAACACATGCTGTGTACGTACCGGAAGTAGTCAAGACCACAGCAGGATCGATCTCACTCGGCTTGCCAAGACAGCAAGATGCTGCCAAACCTGGTGAGAGGCAAACGAGAGGTTCGGAGATTATAAATACAAGCTCAGCTTAACAAGTCTTTCAAATCGTGCTTTTTGTGTCGAGTTTCACTATGATAACCTCATGTGGTCTATATGTACTCTAAACACCTGGTTGTGTTTGTGTGTGTGTTTAGTGTCTTATATTAAGCAGGAGGAGTGTTCTCCACGTGGACAGAGTGCTCAGGCAGAGGGTCTCTTATCCAGAGCAAGAGATTATGAGGGAGTAGTCAGAGGTGAGTTGATAAAATCTACAATAAATTGACAAAATCAAAGAGTTAATCCATTGTCATGAACTTAACATAAAAGCAGCTCTAGAACATTTGACTACTCAAACACAAACTGAACAGTAGAGGTTTACCAATATTGGATTTGTACAAATTGCAAATATATATATATTTGTTAGATAACCAATTATTCAACCAATTATTTTTTTTAAATGGATACTGGATTAAAAACAAACATAACACTCCAAGTAAAACAGTGCTGAACTGAAATGTGCCAAATTAAATAAATATATTAAAATGAATATATTAAAATGATGAATTCTACAGAATGAACTATACAGAAATAATTTAAACATTAAAATATTACAGGTCAAATAAATGTTTTTAGGTGAGTTGAAACCATAGACTGTAGGTTGAAACTCATTATAATGCAAAACTGTTATCCACTCACAGCAGTGGGCGTTTACTTCCAAGTCTTCAGTGCAAGACGCCCATAAAAACCGTGCGTTTCTGAGCTGGGCTGAAAACTAGGATAGAAAATAGACTATTACTTATTCATTTTGATGTTTTTGAATGCAAAAACCAAGCGAACATCATAAGTTGACCTCAGACAACAATATAATAAAATTTAAAAAGCCATTTCATGACCGCTTTAACTAAGGTAATAACAGATCAAATTAAAACTCAATTTAAAGCTGCAGTCCATAGGTTTTTGGGGTTACAAATTATCCAGAATGCATGTTTCGAGATAGATTTGAGCCTTTGCATCATTACTAACATCTGTACACATAAAGAAGGAGTCTCGGCTTGTATAAGCTATTTTGCGTGTGAGGATGTTGGAGGTGGAGATTCATAGCCTTTGCTCACAGCATTTAATTAAACTTATCAATTTGATGGCGGATCCAGAAAGGTTCAAACGACAATCACCAGTGACAACAGATTCACCCGCTGTAAAATGCAAAAGACTTTGTTCGGACTTCGGAGTGACTACAGAAAAAAAGAGACTGCAACCGGACCCATGAGAAAACAAGGATGCATAGCGGAAGGGCATTACATGTAGTCGCGCAATGCTTACGTTGTTAACATGAACAATTTGAGAACAAAGTATAATTTTCATGTTTTTTTGTGATATGATAAGCGATTGTTAGATTTAATCAGTGCGATTTACTGTAATGTCAGAACCAGAACAAAAGAGAAAAGAAAAGTTGATGTTTCTTACTAGTTCAGATTAAATTTTATTGTGAAAATTCTTATGTTGGTCATACTTCCAAAAAGAATAATCTGTGATTCTGAATGCCAGTATTCACACTGGTGCGGTGACTGACAGCTGCACTGTCTCCTCAATGTGTTCATCCGCGCTGTGCCGAGTAGAGGGTGTTGAAGTATATCTCACATAAAGTTGATAATTCCGTTGATAATTAACCTTAGTTAATGCTAAAAATGGAATATTATTATAAAGTGTTACATTTTATATAAATCCAAAGATTCATGCTTAAAGATGGCCATATTTAAATTACTGCAAAGGCCATAGCATGAAAATTACGTAAATGTAGACCTATATTACATGTACAGTCTCTCACTATTTGCTTCTCTTTTAGAACACTTGAAATCGAATGCATTTCTGATTTGTATGCTTTCTCAACATTGATATGTTCATGCAGCTGACAGAAACAATCACGTCACTAGCTTTAAAAATGCAACTTCTCTGGCTAATGAATGCATAAAAGTGACCAGCCGGATATAAACTAATGGAAATAGGTGGTAACAATTGCGACATAAAACATTTGAGTCATGTCTGCGTGTTTTTGTCACATTGCTTCAATCGCTTGAGGTAGCCGCTAATGTTAGACTCTCAGACTCGACAGCAAACACACTGTTGTTATTTCTCTGCAAATGCAGCATCTAGTCAATAAATTAATTACTTTATAATGATATGGCAATATAAATTTTAGTGTTCTGTATTCATACGGTTTTGCTGTCTGTGTTTTAAACGCGCATCTGAACTGTCAGTGCTTTCCGTGCTGCGCGCAGCCTCGCATGTTAACGTATACAACTCAGCCAGTGGTAGTTTGTTATGTGTCCTCTAGAGGCCGCTCTTGCTCTCTATATAGCCTTGTGTATACTCAACGCGTCCGCAAGAGCGCAAAGGTGTGCGTGGCAAAAATGACGTCATTGTGGTGTGGGTGGTCATAGCGTTGGGTGTGCAAGACCCCATTTTGGCTGGCGGTGTGCATGGCACTTTTTTATAACATCGCACGCAGCGCCGCATCCGAAGACTTTGAGCCGAATCTGGCCGAACTGGTACGATCTGTATCAGCATGTTTATGATCCTTCTATACAAGAAACATTTGCATTGACGGGCGACCATAAAATCTCATTTTGTGAACAGGAACACATTTGTATTAAGCATGTAGTTTGCACTTATCTAAAGTAAATGGTTACATTTACAAAATAAGCCTACAATAGCAAAATCCCTTCTGGTGAAATTAAGGTTTAAACTCTCCAATAAGGCTTCAGTTGTTAAATAAACCTACTGCATTTACTCTTTTATGAAGAGGTGTGCGTGCAGTCAGCAGTCTCTTCTGAGCGCTCTCGTGCTGTGTAATGACCATGCACGCGTTTCAGCCGCTCCAGCAACGAACGCAACCCGGAATTTTGCCGATAACAATAGTTCCACCAATCAACTATCGGTACTGATATATCGGCAAAACCGATGAATCGGTCGACCTCTAGTGAACAGTGTTTTTCTTTCTCTCCTCTGCTCCCAGGAGGACCCATACAGATTCAGGACATGAGAGGGCCACCTGGAAAAGGCCCAGAGGGCTTGACGTATAGAGGTGGCTCCATTACGCAGGTACCTTTTATTATAGGCCTTTGTGTATTATTTGTTTAATTTTCATTTATAGTTGTGAAGTATTTCTTACGCTCGCTCTTTCTAGGGAACTCCTGCCCTGACTCAGTCCAGTGTAGCAGTGGATCACTTGAAAGGCACTATTGGTAAACTGTCCACAGAGGACCTGAGCGGCCCAGAGAAGAGCCGAGCTGAAGCCCATTCTAAAGCTCACGTCATCTACGAAGGCAAAAGCGGACACATCCTCTCTTTTGACGGTCAGAGCCAAATCTGCTTCCCAGTTGGACTGATGTTATTCATGTTATATTTGTGATGATAAATGATTTAATTTATTTTTGGTTTCTATTATATCAAATATTGTCAAAAAGCTATAGGTATAAAGTGATCATTTTTATATTATATTGCCTGGCCCTAGTCACACCACAGCACAAGTGGAGTCAGATGGTGAAGTGGTTCATTTCAAGGGCTAAATGACATGTTTGCTAACTGTGCTAACTGTAAGTTTCTATTTTTATGGTGAACCAGAGCTTACCAGGAGTCTTTTTTTAAATGGCCTATTGATATTTTTAGTTCATTTTATTCTGATAATAATATATTCATCTCGCTTTATGTTCCCACAGCTATTAAGAACCCTAGAGAGGGCACTAGAAGCCCACGGATGGGGCACGATCTCAAGCGCACATATGACATCATGGAGGGGTCCCCTGGACACCCAGGACGTGATGCGGCACCTTATGAAGGTTAGTCATGTTTTCATGTGCTTTTTCCGAGAAGAATAAGGCACAAGAGTTGATGAAGTGAGAATGTTTGCCAATGGGGTTTTTTAAAGACATTTTTCTCTGCCAGGTTTGATAAGCAGAGCATTGCCGAAAGAAAGTCAACACGAGTCTAAGGATCGATCCATACTCTCAGGGTCCATCATGCAAGGTAGTTCTGACCCACCACACTTCCTTCAATCCTGAAAATATGTAATTATTTTATAAAAACTATTTAAAGTTAAAGACTAGTTGTTTTAATTTAAAGGATTTAAAATAATACATCTGGTCCAATTTAGGATTTTGCTTTAAATGCTGAATACCACATACTGGAGAAAACTATTCATTAATATTAATAATTAATCTTTTTTTTACAATATTTAGGGGAACTTCTAAATTATCTCTCCCTGTGTTTCAGGAACTCCAAGAACATCTGCTGAATTCTATGATGAGGCCTCCAAGTATGGTAAACAGATCAAGAGGGAAAGTCCACCCATACGCTCTTTTGAGGGAGGCATCACGAAAGGTAAACCATACGAGGGCGTGAACACCATAAAGGCGACGGGCCGCTCAATTCATGAGATTCCCCGTAAGGAGACCCAAGATAGTCGCAAAACTCCCGTTCTGGAAGGACCCATTGCTCAGGTACAAGATTTTAGGTTTTTGTTTCCTACACTGAAATGTACAGAACTGGTCAAAAGTTTGGAAACATTATTTTTAATGTTTTTGTAAGAAGTCTCTTATGCTCAACAAGCCTGCATATCAAAAATACAGAAAATTTGTATTATGAAATATTTATTGCAATAAATTAAAATAATGGTTTCTATTTGAATTTACTTTAAAGTATTATTTATTTCTGTGGTGCAAAGCTGAATTTTTCTATTCTTCAGAAATTATTCTATATCTATGGTGATTTGATTATTGTTTTTTATTAGTGTTGGACACAGTTGTACTACTTAATATTTTTGGAACCTGTGATACTTTTTTCAGGATTCGTTGATGAATAAAGGTAATAAGAACAGCATTTTTTTCAAAATAGCAATCTTTTCTAACAATATAAATCTTTATCATCACTTTTTATTGATTTAACATCCTTGCTGATGCAACTATTCAGAATTAAATTTAGAATTACTGAACTTTAGAACCGTTCTGTATATTGAATAAAGGCTGTTCTTTTTTTTTTACATTTTATTCATCAAAGAATCTTGAAAAGTATCAGGTTATAAAAAATATTAAGCTGCAAAGCTTTTTCTAACATTGATAATAAATCAGCTTAGTATAAATCCTGAAGGATCATGTGACACTGAAGTGTTGAGTAATGACTGTTGAAAATTTAGCTTTGCATCATAGAAATAAATTATTTGTAATGTACATTAAAATTGAAAACCATTATTTAACATTGTAATATTTCACAATATTACTGTTTTTTGTATTTTTGATCAAATTAATACAGCCTTGGTGAGCTTAAGAGACTTAATAAAAAAAAAAACACACATTAAAAATAGTTTCCCAACTTTTGACCGGTACTGTATTTATGAAGAACATTCATTTAACATTCAGATCAGTCAAAAGAAAAATGCCTTTGACAGTCTCAAGAGAATAGTTTCTCTTCATCTCCCTCTAATTTTCTTCTTACCAAGCATTGTTTTGTTTTCCATGTCTATGCAGGGTATTCCTCTGAAGTATGAGAGCAGTAGCGGGAACCCATTGGCCATCAAGCACAATGTTAAATCTCTGATTACAAGCCCAGGGAAGATCTCACACTCTGCCATCGAGGCGGCTGAGCGTGAGAGGGCCAAGTACGAAGATGTTAAGGCATCCGAGCGCGTCCGACACACAAACTCTACGTCTGTCCTGCGCTCCACACACACAGAGGTGGGAAAAGCTCAGCTCAGTCCAGGCATGTATGACGACAGCAATGCACGCAGAACCCCTACATACACAAGCACCTCCATATCCAGAGGATCACCCCTACTGCGAGGGCAAGAGGGTATGAATGCCTCCTCTCTCATTTTGGCTTTTTTATTTACTCAAAACGTTTTATTGCTCCTATAGATTACTTCTAGCAGTCAGTTTCACAGGTCATCTTGCTGATTTTTATTTCTTTTCTTGAATAGGAAGTATAACAACAGGTAAACCAGCTTCTCACGAGAGGAAGAGCGCACTGACACCAACCCAGAGAGACAGTATTCCCGCCAAGTCACCTGTTTCCGGGGCTGACCCTCATGGCTCTCACAGCCCCTTTGACCCTCACCACAGACCTGTGGTACCTGGAGAGGTGTACCGGACTCACCTGGCACCACACATGGACCCCAGCCTCGCCTTTCACCACAGAGTCCTGGAACCAGGTAATTTGAGGCATTATGGGATCTTTCCAGTGGCCAGAGTCATGAAAATAAATTAGATTAGAGTCCAGCATAGGTCACCAGAGAAAAGTCGTCTTCATCTGATGATCCAGTTATGAAATTTTGATTTAATAAAAAATAATAATAAACATGAAAGAGTGAATTGTTTGCATTAAAGGGTTAGTTCACCCAAAAATGAAAATGAAGTCATTAATTACTCACCCCCATGCTGTACCAACCCCGTAAGACCTTCGTTCGTCTTCGGAACACAAATGAAGATATTTTTGATTAAATTTGAGAGCTGTATAACTACCACATTGGCTCCTAAGGGACTGCCTCTTGACGGCCCAAAAAGTCAATGAAGAAAATGTTTAAATATCCCAAGTGACTACCGTGGCTCAACTATATGTTTATCAAGCGACGCGAATACTTTTTGTGCGAAAAAACAAACAAAAATAACGAGTTTATTCGACTATTTCTTTTCTTCCTTGTAGGCCAGAACGAGACTTCCTTATAGATTTCCACGACGCATGCGCGAGAATTGCGATCTGAAGTAGTGTAAGCTGGCGTAAGCAGATCGCAATTCTCGCGCATGCGTCGTGGAAATCTAAGGAATTCTCGTTCTGGCCTACAAGGAAGAAAAGAAATAGTCGAATAAACTCGTTATTTTTGTTTGTTTTTTCGCACAAAAAGTATTCGCGTCGCTTGATAAACATATAGTTGAGCCACGGTAGTCACTTGGGATATTTAAACATTTTCTTCATTGACTTTCTGGGCCGTCAAGAGGCAGTCCCTTAGGAGCCAATGTGGTAGTTATACAGCTCTCAAATTTAATCAAAAATATCTTCATTTGTGTTCCGAAGACGAACGAAGGTCTTACGGGGTTGGTACAGCATGGGGGTGAGTAATTAATGACTTCATTTTCATTTTTGGGTGAACTAACCCTTTAAGATCCTATACAGTTAATTTTAGAATGGCAAACATTTTAACGTCAATGAAGATTTCATTTTAAATAGTATTTTACAAAATACAAAACATTGTACAACCTTAGTAGTTTTATAAATCTGCATTTCTTAATCAGACTCAGAACGCATGAGATGTGGCTACGCTTTGACTAGGTCTGAAAAATTAGTGAATTATGAATTAGTTCTGTTCTGAAACCATGCTTCCTACAAACAGGCCTGCACGAAAAAACAGTTCATGCGTCACCCACAAAATTAATGGATTGTTCCAAGTAATCACTCTCTTAAAAGCACTACTCCTATCTCATTGGTAAACATCATGTTTTGGTTTTTCAACCTGCTCTCATGCATTAGGTAATAGCGTTTACTGCTCAACTCTACTGTGGCAAACCCGCACCATTGACGTCAAGACAAGAACAGCTGTCTTTTCACCTCTCGTCCTTTGTTTTCCTCTGTATATCTCAGCAGCATACATGTTCCAACGGCAACCATCGCCTACAGGTTACCCCAACACTTACCAGCTGTACACCATGGAGAACACTCGGCAAACCATTCTGAACGATTACATCACCTCGCAGCAGATGCAGGTCATACCGCGCCCTGATGTTGCAAGGGGACTGTCACCACGTGAACCGTCCATTGGCATCCCATACCCACCTACTAGAGGTAAGGGATTGTCTAAGTGTGTGTGTTTGTGACAGTGAATGAAGGGACCAAAGGAAGAATGCAGTCAGTAGATATTGTGTTTGTGAACTAGTGGCAACCTTTTCCAGACCATCAGAAGCAAACGACCCTTAAACAAATTCTATTTGCATGCTGTCAATTCATTGAGTTCAATTCGATTGTTAAATCTAGGGCTGTGGCTGTTCCTTAGATGTCCTGTAGACTCTCCTGTTAAGAGGCCCCCTTTTTTTCTAGTTACAGATGTTCACTCTGCATCCTATTGTAACATCTCCAGGAACAAGGTTACTTGTTAAACTTTGACCTGGGTTTGATGTGACATTTATTTTGCGTAAAATTATAAGACATTTCTTAATAATTGAGCAGATTCTGAAGGAGTTTGACCCTCAGACCCTTAGCAGGTACTGCTGTCTAAATTCACAAAATACATTGCTTCATATTGCTAATTCTAGTTGCTAGTTAATTTGCTTAAAGTGAAAAGCTTGTTGGAACCCAGCTTTCAGCCCTGGCCTATCCTGTTATTGTAATTTGAACCTCTTTGATACATTATTGATGAGCTCATTCAAATTTTTAAATTCGTCTAGTGTTTTAGTCATAAGATGTTTCTAGAAGATCAGTAGAGGGTGTTGGCTCTAAGTAAAGTTGAAGCTGATTGGTTGTGGATGCTCACCCTCTGGCCCTTTGCTTCTGTCTGTAAAAGGAATAATTGATCTAGCCCAGATGCCACCTACCATCCTGTTACCTCACCCTGGGGGGGCAGGTTCCCCCTCCCTGGACCGCATCACCTACATCCCTGGACCTCAGATCCCTTTCCCTCCTAGGGCATTCAACCCTGCCTCCATATCTCCAGGTGAGGATCCCACCCCACCCCTCCTCTCCTATCCAACACCTGAGCTTCCCCATATAGTCCTGGTGGTGGTGCTTTAGAAACTCGCCCCTTCGCTGACGCTTTCTTCCACCTTAAACTACAGCTGTTTTCTAAACCACTATGGTGGCAGTGCGCCACTACTAAATCTACAGTGTCACGGCAAAAATAAGTACGTTTCACCTGATTCGTGAGTTGGTCTGAATTGACTGTGTAAAAATCTGTACCTGGCCAAATCACTTCTTACCTGAACCTGACGTACATGGATACATTTTTTAAAAAGGAAAAACTCAGACCTGATAAAATTAGTCCAGTCCAACTGATACAATATCAATATTTGAACCCGTCTGGACCTGAATGTTAGTAGTAGTGACGTCTGTACAACCCGCAATTATCAAATTACCCAAGATAGGAAACTAGTAATATCACACACGCTTGGATTGGACCTTGGGTTTCAGATCAGTTTAATGAACTTGGCAGGCTTCCTGCTGAATTCTGTGGGTGCTGACACACATTTTGTACCATTTTGAGGGGTTGGTTTGAGCTTCTTAACATTTGCATAGAATGAAGAGAACTGCTGTTATCATTGTCTGCATGATATGTTCCAGAACAGATTGTATCTTAAGATGTACATAGAAATATGTAGAATGTTAGTCGGAATTAAAAAGGTAACGAAAGTGTCAAACTCCCAATTGCTTCAAGTACTTCCCCTGAGATCCTGCCTGCACCTGCCCACCTGTGCAAGCAGTGTTGGTAAAAAATGTGGCCTCAGTTGTGTCATATTTAAAGCTTGTCTTGGGAATGCAGGTGGTCTGGAGGTAAGTAGATTGTAACAGTCTAAACATCTATTCACACCGACAACATAGTCACAAAAAATAATTGTTATATATATATATTCGCTCTCTGTGTGAATATGCTTTTAGAACCATTTCATTTATCATTTTTTCTCAGTCTGTGTCAGTGTTGTACTGCAACAGCTGATCTTTAACCCTCTGGGGTCTAAGGTGTTTTTGGGGTCTTTGAGATGTTTTGACATGCCCTGACATTTGTGCTTTTACCATATAAACATATTAATGGCACAGGTGAAATCACACTTTATTTAGCACAAACAAAGCTACCATAGTCAGCAACATGTATGTACATGTTTGTATTTTTGAGAGAATATTGTTTATGCTTGATTATTGAAAAACTAAAAAATTTAGTTTCTGAAATAAGGCCACAATACACATACTATATATATAATTGTTCTCATACACACACACATATATATATATATATATATAGTAATATAGTATATAATATAGTATATATTTTAGCACATTAATTGCTAGTTTTTTGAGGTAATATAAAAGGGTAATATAAAGTGACATACATTTGTAAATAGTATTATCAATGTTTGCTTTATTTTGCAACAAAATAATAGATGACATTTACATTTATTCATTTAGCTGACACTTTATCCAAAGCGACTTACAATTGCTATATATGTCAGAGGTCACACGTCTCTGGAGCAACTAGGGGTTAAGTGCCTTGCTCAGGGACACATTGGTGTCTCACAGTGGATTCGAACCTGGGTCTCTCTCACTTGTGTGTGACTTATCCACTGCGCCATCACCACCGTGTTTCAAATGAAAGCCACAGCAGAATTGTTGTGCTTCTCCAATACTTCGGTGTTTCGTTACAAATTATTTTATGACCCATTCATAAGTATAGCCACTTGCTTCATTTCTGAATGCTTTAGTTTAATATTTAAAATTGTCTCTTCGTTTTTACCATCATTTCATATTTCTCTATTGAACATTTTTAAAACATTGGCATAAATAATGTTATGAGGTATTGTAATTGCATTCAGCCCACCTCTGAACAGTATTAAACTGTGTAAATGCATCTAGATGTAGCTTGTGGCCACTGCAGTGGAACGATGACTTGTGTTTATACTGATTTCATTTGATTGAAATTATTAATTTAGTTATAATAAATAAAGCAGTAAATTAATTTAATTAGTGGTATTTTCAGAATTTCACAAACATGACACATACTTTTTATAGGGTTAGAAAAAATGTACCTGCAAATCATTTTAAGGGGCAAATACTGTAAGTGGAAGAGAGGGTATGCAGAAGGATATTAAATGCTTTGGGGTATATCACTCTAAAAATTTTGGGAACCACTGGAACAGATAATGCCAGAGTTATACCATTTATATATCCACACAATAATTTTGCATCACTGAAATCATGAATCTGTCTTCTATCCCTTTCTTACAGTAACACAGCTGGCCCCATCAAACTACAGCAAATGTAAAGGGCCCGTTTGATTGCAACCCCTGTTAGTTTTTTATGTGTTGCCTGTTCTTCACTCCCCACAGGACATCCTGCCCATCATAGTGCCAGTGCAGCCATTGTGGATAGGGAACGTGAGAGGGAAAGAGAGAGAGATCAGAGAGAAAGGGAACGCGCCGCAGTAGAATATATGCGTGGAGGTAAGAATTGACACACAGATGGAAATAATGGCACCAATAATGATCCACTCTGCTCCATCTTAACAAACTGAGCTATTCTGCCAGTGTTCTCAGGTCTTATCTCTGTTTATGCTGCAGGTCCTGAACAGCCTGGCCGACCAGGCAGCCGTAGTTTCCTGCGTTCCACCTCACCGTCCGTGCGATCACAGGAGGGCGTCCTCCAGCAGCGGCCGAGCATCTTCCAGGGCACCAACACTAAGAGCGTCATTACCCCACTCATGTGAGCAATTATATAAATAAATTAGTTCATTACTAAAATGTATTATGCACTTTTTTGTATTATATTAACTTATTAGCTTTTATTGTAGAATTGAAGATCTTTCGGCCCATGCATCTTATTTTTTTTAGAAAAGGTAGTTCTTTAACAGTTAATTTAGTTTTTCTGGAAGAATGAGGTTTAAGACAAATTTTGATCAGGTTTTGGAACAGGTCACTGCACAGAGATCTGCATTTTTATACGAGTCGTAAATAACCGTCGCTTAATCATAGATTCAGGTAACTGCAGCCCTGATTTTTACATGTGGTTGGTTTTAAAGTGGTTCATTCCTTATCTAGAGAACAGATCATTTTCACTCTTGTTGTGTTTGGCTTTATGTAGTGTCCTGGCACGCCTCTATTTTATTATTGAATTAGTTCCGAACACGCCAGCCTGTCTGCGTTTGAGTGCTTAGAAGAGTAATTACATCTCTCCAATTTTGGCCTCACTCGAGTGGCTATTTTTAAGTACTACTTAATAGTTAATTTTTGTTTTGTTTTTTGTTTATTTGTTTTTAATGTACTGCACATGCATGTGATTGTAGTCTGCATGTACAGTTGTAATGTGCTTTATAAATAAATTATATGAGTGCAATAACTTGCAATAGATTAATTTGTATGAGCTTTTATATATTTTATATATTTGAATAATTTATATTTTATTTGATTTAATATTTATTTTTTTGTTCTGTTTTTTTGGAATTGTTGATTTGTAGATTTTAAAATTTAGTTTTACATTTAGTCATTTATCAGATGATTTTATCCAAACTGAGGACTAAACCAAGCGACTCATAGCACTCGACAAAAAAAAGTCTTGATCTCCTGAACAGGGACTTGAACCAAGGACGCACCGTGTATTTTTTTTAATGTTTTTTCTCTATTAACCGTGGAACTTTTGCTTGTCCAGGCAAATGCCCTCTCAAGCGTCTGCAGCTCAAGCCAACTCCCGATACAACAATGCAGCTGACGCCCTTGCCGCCCTGGTGGACGCTGCTGCCTCTGCCCCGCAGATGGATGTTGCGAAAGTCAAGGAGAGCAAGCATAATAACAGTAGCTCCCGGGATGACGACATGATGTCATCACGGCGGGCAGCACAGGAGTCGCAGGAGGTGGAGCGCCGTTCCATGCAGTCGCCATATGGGGACGTGTCACTTCCTGGTGGGAAACCTTCCCATCCTGTGTATGCGGAGGGTGGAGGAGCTGCAGGGAGCAAAGAGAAAGCCCCACCCACGAAGTCACGCATGGAGGAGGAGCTACGCACACATGGGAAAACCACCATAACTGCTGCAAACTTCATTGATGTCATCATCACACGCCAGATTGCCCCAGATAAGGATTCCCGTGAGAGAGGCTCACAGAGCTCTGACTCCTCCAGCAGCAGTGAGTGTCATCAGATAGACAAAGTTTAATTATAATTAATTACATTTAGAATAATTACATTTTGTGTAATGATAATAAATCTATTAAAACCAGAATCATGATCATGCAACACCTCACAGTTCATAACTCAAATTTACATGAACATTCAATAATATTTTTAAATGATTTTGACAGAAGTCTCTAATGTGATCCTTCAGAAATAATTCTAATATGATCATTTGCTGCTCAAGAAACGTTTCTTATTATTATCAATGTTGAAAACAGATACCTGATATTTTTCTGGAAACCTTCTGGAAAAGGATTCTTTGATAAAGTTCAAAACAGCATTTATTGGACAGACATTTGTAACTTTATACGTGCCTTTACATTGTTTTGATCCATTTAATCTATCCTTGCTAAATAAAAGTATTAATTTATTTCAAAAACGAAATTCTCAAGTAATGTACATACTTCAAAGCAGAGAAAACAGGAAGCAATTACTTCAACACAGTCTCACCATAAGCTAGATGTGTGATTGGAGAAATGAGACAACTTGTAAGACAATTACAAGGCATGAACTTAGGGATTTACTAACAGAAGGCATTAACAGGACACTTAATGGGATGATCAGTGCTATTGAGGCCATGAGACCTAATAGTCTTTGGAAACCTAGAAAACACAACCTGTGATCCAGCTGGAACTAAAACTGACAACATTGGCAAACCTCTGACCTCAGATTTGACAGGGTAATTCCATCATAGGGAGTGAAGTTCTTACCACGAGAATGAAATTTGTTCCTTCTGTGACTTACTATAAAGTCTGATAGAAGGAGGCTGCTTCAATGCGTACTTTGTAATCTACTCAGTAGGTTGAAAACAGTGTGCTAAAGGTGTAGATGGCACACCCTCTCTCACTAACAAAGCAGCTTTATTTACTTTCAAGGCTATAACAGCATGTTTACATGTCCTTCAGTGTCATCCAGTCGTTATGAGGCTCAAGGGGCAATCGAGGTGATCAGCCCTGCTAACTCTCCAGCCCTGAGAGAAGAGAAGAATGAAGGACCTTTCCCATCAGAAAAGAGCTCTCAGCCAACCACAGGTGAGACTTCAAAGGCCTGAAGCCTACACAAGCCCGGAAACCAAGATGGGGTGAATCTCATGAAATATTTTAGGAACATATCTATATTATATCATACCATCATTTTTTGGGGCAAATTTAGCTTATATTAGAATTTTTTTATTACTTTTTAGAAGATTTTTTGCATTGTAACCCTATTTTTTGTGACATTTTATGGCCACATTTATTCAAAGAAAATCTCTATCCTATTTCTATAATGTGTATAAATTAATTTCTAAATTAAGGAACATTCAATCATTGTGGTTTTATTTCTTATATACTGCCTTTATTATATTAATTTTAAATCTTTCGTTTTTTTACTCTGTTGCATTAAAAAATGCACTTGCGGTAATGACAATCACAATCAATAATAATTGGAATTAATAAGTAAATACAAATGATCTTTCGTGAGATTTATCCTAGTGTCATTTCTGTCAGTTCTTTGATCTGATCTTGTGTTGTGTAGGATTGAGGTTTGACATTAGCCGGTACAGGCAGTCAGAAGACTCAGGACCTTCTGCACCCCACCAGCCCCCCTCCTCACAAGCAGACAGTTATGGGCCCGTCCCTAAAACACACCGCATCATGACCCTCGCTGACCACATTTCAGTAAGTTGCACTCCTACTCCTGATGCTCATGTCACATGTCACACCTCCTTCATTGCCCTCACTTTCTCTCTCTCTCTCTCTCTCACAGCACATTATTACACAAGACTTTGCCAAGAGCCAGGATCCTCCTCCATCATCAACTTCGCTGCCTTCCTCTTCATCCTCCTCTTCACTCTCCTCCACATTCCAGAGTTCTGGTATGGGAGGTGTTGTAGGTCGAGTTAAACCCCCTAACCGCTATAGCCCAGAAAACCCAGCTCCAACTACACACCACCAGAGACCACCAAGCAGAGTATCTCCTGAGAAATCTTCCGATAAACCAAGAGCCAGGTACCCATCGACACAAACAAAATTGCTATATGAAAGCCAAGATTTTACTTAAATTAGTAATTTGTACAGAAACACAGACAAGCCGCACAAGAACGCATGCACATACAATGCTGTTCAAAAGTTTGGGATTGGTTGTACACATTTTTTTTAAAGAAAATAATATTTTTCATCCGTAAGGACTCATTAAATTGATAAAAATTGATGATAAAGACATTTATAATGTTATACAATATTACTATGTCAAACAGATGCTGTTCTTCTGAACGTTCTATTCATCCTGAAAAATGCACCTCAACATTAAGCAGCACTCATCAAGCAGCAATCAATTTTAATATTGATCATAATAATAGATGTTTCTTGAGCAGCAAATCAGCATATTAAAATGATTTCTGAAGGATCATGTGACACTGAAAAATAAGCTTTGCCCTCACAGGAATAAATTGCATTTTAAAATATACTAATACATTAGATTTTAAATTATAATAATATTTCACAATATTACTATTATTACTGGTATTTTAATCAATGATTGCAGCCTTGGAGAGCATAAACAACTCCTCCAAAACATAACAAAAATCTTACCAACACAAACTTTTAAACAATACTGTTTGTGCGTATTTGTGCATGTCCATGTCCATGTCCAGAATTGATACTGAAAATAATGACTCCATCATTCATATCACTATGTATCTGAAATTCAGATTATAGGCATTTCATTTATGACACGCTATAACTGGTAGACCAATCACAACAGACTGGGCCATCTGACCAATCAAAACAGAGTAAGCTCTCGGACAGGAGGGGTTTCGAGAGACTAAATCTTTAAACAAACTGTTTTCAGACTATTTGAGAAGTGAGGTGATCTGAAAAGTGTTTTTTTGACATTGGATGCATGCAAACCTATTGTGGGAGATCGCCATAACACATTTTTGAAACTTTAAAATGGCATAGTTGGGGCACTTTAATGGTTACAAAAACCCTTACAAAAATGTGTGAGATGCTTTATACACTGAAAACAATGCCCCAGCAGCAGTCTCTTATCTTTCTGTCTCTCTCAGGCCAGGCAGGTCTCCTGATCGAGGTCGAGGGCTTGTCGAGGGCAGCTATGAGCCCATTTCTCCTCCTCAGGGCTATTCTGGGTTAGATAAACAGGAGGCCAGTATGCTGCAGAGTCAGAGACGAGAGCATGAGGTCCCCGAACAGAGGTAGTAACTCATTGTCTCTCTGCACTACTAGGTGTATGTACACTTTTTTTAATTACATTTAAGTTTAAGGGGGGAAAAACACTGAAATAGAAATCAAATAGTAAAGCAAACTGGACTTCCCATGTCCCTGAATATTCAGACTGTTGTCTGTTTATTTTCTTTGTTATTTTTGGCCAACCCTATTCTTCACTGTGAGATCTTTGATCTGTCTTTTGTTTCAGGACTGACTCGCGCTCCCCAGGCAGTGGCAGTTACCTGCCCTCATTTTTCACCAAACTGGAGAGCACGTCTCCTATGGTTATGTCCAAAAAGCAGGAGATCTTCCGGAAAGCAGAAGTCGGTCAGTAAAAGTGCAAACCCATTTTTTCAGAGACCTATTCCCCCTCAAGCTCAGGATATTTACTTCACTCCACTGATAATTTGAAGTCTTTTATTCAGACAATTGCCACCTAATTTTACCTCTCATTTCCCTTTCTCTAAACAGGTAATGCTCAGCCAGGCACAGAGATCTTCAATCTCCCGGCAGTAACATCATCAAGTGAGTTTCACAACTATCAGTATTATGCATTTCACCATAAAGAACTTAACTGACATGCCATTCACGTCAGTTGATGTATTTTCGGGTTTCATAATTTGACGAGTTTTAAACGCTTCTTAAATTATTCTCAAATTTTCCAATGTGTGTGTGTGTGTTGTCCTGTACAGGCAGTGTAAACCCTAGAAACCACTCATTTAGTGATCCAGCCAGTAATCTGGGTCTGGAGGACATCATCAGGAAAGCTCTGATGGGCAATATGGAGGAGAAGCAGGAGGACCAGCAGCAGGCTCACCTTGGGACTGGAAACACTTCAGGAAGCATGAGCAGTATTTCAGAGAGCCGACAGGAGGCCAGCCCGTCCCCTAACACAGGTTCATGCTGTAAATACATATCAATGAACATACACTTTGTCTAAAACAGAACATTCTGCACAAGTGCTTTGTGGGCCAGCTTATTAACATGAAATTACAAGGCTAAAATTTGGAGAATCACTCTTTATTAGGGCTGTCAAGATGAAATTTTCACCACAGTTATAATGGCCTGAAGAATTGGATATTATTGTTAGAAATAAAAAAATAATTCTATAAGTCAAAATCATATTCAAATTTATTAAGTGTTTTCTCAAAATACGCATGCACAACTGTACAAAACCATAATTTTGGCACTTGCTTAAGTCTTACACCTCTTTTTTTTTTTTACATGATCCAAAAAACTCCCAAACAGATGTTTTCAAGTGCAGGTTGTGTTCTGCTTTCGTCTCTCATTTCGTCCATTATGATCTTGTGTGGCAGTTGTAGATATATACTGCATCATATTTTCTGTAATGATGGCCTTCCTGTAGCTCAAACAGTCGGCGCTTGCAACGCCAAGGTAATGGGTTTGATTCCCAGGCAAAGCAAGAACTGATTGAAATGCAATGTAAATCACTTTGGATAAAAGCGTCTGCCTTTTACATAAATATAAATGTGGCCACCTGTGTTAAGTTTGGAGTACAACCACCTAATTGACGTCAACCCGATGCTTACTGGCTCTGAATTATTTATATAATCTTATTTGTAGTATCAACATGACACCAGTATTTAATTTAAGTATCAAGGTTATCATCAATACCCCTAGTCTGAATGTTTGCATATCATTCAAGACCAAGCTGCTGACGTCCTTGTCCATCTTTCTACCTCTACAGCAGGAAGGCAGAAGCTTCAGAGCAAAGCTAGCAGCAGGAAATCAAAGTCCCCGAACCCAGGCCAGGCGTACTCTGCCGGAGAGCGTCCCTCTTCTGTGTCCTCCGTTCATTCGGAGGGTGATTACCACAGACAGGCTCCCACCTGGGCTTGGGAGGACCGGCCGTCATCCACAGGTCAGCTGCTTGGTTCTTGATTAAAATGTTTTGTTAGAGCTGCTTTTGTTGAAATTAAAAGCATTGTTTCTCTTTCCTCCTGCCAAGGTTCCATGCAGTTTCCTTATAACCCCCTGACTATGCGCATGCTCAGTAGTACCCCTCCCACCTCCATGGCCTGCCCATCTCCCTCCATGCAGTCCCAGCAGCAGCCACAGGGTGGCGCCTCTGGCCCTGTGGCCCCAACGCGAGCTTGGGAGAGAGAGCCACCGCTACTGTCAGAGCAGTACGAGACCCTCTCGGACAGCGACGACTGAGGCAGGTGACCCGCCTCCCTCTCCTACACAAGCGTCCATGCCTCACCATCGCCCTTCTTTCACTGTCTTTATGAATCCCACTCACTGCCTCTCGAGAGTGAGATTCTACTGGGGAGGAGGTCGTACGTTTGGTGCTAACTAGTGCCGACTGGTGGTCAGAAAGAGCATTGCTTAGAGCCACTCATTTTCAGGATTGAACCGATGCTTTGATTTTTGGCCCGTAATCCAAAAGGATTAAAAAGAACTTGTAAAGAGACTTGTTTTCTGAAAATTTGCTTCTGTAAAGATTTTGTTTGTCTTTAAAAAAAAAAAGAAAAATCAATGTATGTAAATAGAGAGTAACCTTTTGCAGTGTTTTTCATTTAACAATTTTTTTCTGCATTTTAACTTTGCTTTTTAAATTTATCCCAGTTGGATGAATGGATGGAACTAGACGCGTGGGAATTATTGTGGTCAGTCGGGGGAAGAACATTGAACTTCCCACATCTGAAAGTGTAATGGTCTTGTCAAGACTACTCCCAACGAAACGCAAAAAGGACTTTGTTACGTTTGCCCCCTCAGATGTGGACCCTGTCTATGCAGCACTGTTGAGATGTGTTCTGCACTGTTGAGATGTGTTCTGCACTGTTACTTCTGGAAGGAAGTCACACTCTTTCATCAACTGTTATAGGAGGACAGGCCTAAATGAAAGATGGCATCAGCCTTTTCTGTTGTGGGAGTCTTATTCACAGTAAAACTTCAGATATGAGATGAATGTTTCTTCTGTTTTTCTCTCGCTTTTCTTTTCGACTTGGTTCTAATCTTCAGCAGTGGCAGATCTGTTCAGAGTGTTTGACCATACAGTTGAATGTCTGACAGTTGGATTTGCGAGAGTCCTCTGTTGCTAATCATAAAGGAGCACGTATGACGTGTGGATTCTGTCAAAATGTGTTTTGTTTTTTTTTGTTTTGTTTTTTCCCTCCTAGACCACATAACAAATACAAAGACAAAAAAAGGAAGTATCAAACTTGGTACATCTCTGCACCATTGTTGCACTTTTTTCCTTAGTAATTTTGAGAAGCTTAAAATCATACTACCTGTAATCTAAGTTATATAATGTCAGAGGTCTGGAGCGCTTTCAGATATGCTCATGTTTTAGTCACTTACTCCATCTGCATTGGGAATGTTACTTTTTTTTTTTTTTACTTTTAAGCATATTAAATCGGTACCATTTATCTCAGCTGCTGCACTCGTTCAGAGATCTAAATATCTGTCTGAAAGTGAATAAACTCAGTGCAGGAATAGTTGACTGTGATGAAAGCTAATGGGGGGTCCCTGATATCCGAAGGCATCTCTTGATCCTGCTTTTTTCCACTTTATGTGCTACTGCTTTGTTCACATAACACCACCAGTATGATCTTTATTTTAATCTAATGGTTTTGTTTTCTTCAGAAGTTTAAAAAACAAATGTTGAGCTCATGTTTGGATTTTTTTTTTCCCACATTTTTTTTTCTATGATTTTCTGCATCAATGTTATATTCATCCTGTTTTAATGGGATGTCAAGTGTTTACAATGGCATTGACAAAAATGGTGAAAACTTGAATCTTAAAGACAATTAAAACTGCTCATCACATCAGTCTATTTCCAGTTTAGCTTTGCAAGGGTGGCTTTCTTTTTTTCTGGTCCGTTCTGAATCAAGACTTGGAAAAAAAGTAACTTGTTCCCTGATTTTGAAATCCAATGTTTGTATCACTCTGTCTCCTCAGTAGTGGATGAGAAATGTGCAGACCAATCAATAAAGTAGAACAGAGCTCCACCTCTCTGAAAAGGACGTCGCTGTATCCCGTCTCTGATGCTTTTCTTTCCAATCATCTACCAAAAAAAGATTGAAAGATTCCACAGCAGAGAGAAAGTCATACTAGTTTGGGATTTTCAGTTTTGGCTGAACTGTGATAGCAATGACGGCGTTGTGGGTTTGATTCCCAGGGAATCAAAGAACTGACTAAAAACCATACCTTGAATGTAATGGACTGTTAGTAGTCACTTTTTTAGTCAAAGTTTTAGAATAATTACAATTTAATTTATTAACATTGCTGCCATGTTGCTAAAAACAGAAACTTCAATGTATTTCTTCAGGAATTTGATCTTTCAAAATGTAGAATGACAGAAAATCTAATGTGTTTGATTCATTGACCTCTGTAAGGTTTATCATTGACCCTTCTCAGGTAAATACTGAGAAATAAAAGATAAAATAAAATCTGATTAGAACTATCAAATAACCTTCAAATGTGAAGACTATTCTATCCTGCTGCTTATCCTGTGCATGTTAGAGGTCAGTAGGTCTCTGAAAGCTTTATCAGCTTTGCATTTCTTTAAAGTCTGCTTTTGTCTTCAACAATATCCAGCTCTTCTCCATGTCTCTCCAATCTTTTTACACAGGTCATACGTGATGTGTGTCTACAGAAGCTCGTTACAAGAGTCCGTTTATCCACAGAAATGTCGTCTGAAATCCTGCTGCTTTGCCTTCTTGAACCAGCTCTCTTTGGATCAAACTTGACCATGATTGCTGTTCGCGCAATTCAGGAAGTGGCTTGCTTAAATTCTCCCCTCACTGCACATTAATTGCATCTTCAATGATCACAGGAGACATGAAGCTGTGTGGATGTTGTGCTGCTGCTTTCTAGTGTGTGTTAAAGGTCAGTAAACTCTCTGAATCCTGCAGTAAGTATTACATTATCTGTACAATTGTTCTAGGTTTGTTAGCTGTACTGTTACCTATACATTGTCTTTATTGCACTCATAATTAGTTATTAGATATTTCAGCAATAGCAAGATATTTTGAAGAACGATTGGAACCAAACGGTTGTTTGACAACATTGACTTCCATGTTAGAAAAAAAAAAGTACTATGGAAGTCAATGGTGTCAAAGTTCCAATCGTTCTTCAAAATATCTTGCTTTGTGTTCAGCAGAAGAAAGAAACTCATACAGGTTTAAAACAACTTGAGGGTGAGTAAATGATGACAGAATTTTCATTTTTGGGTGGAGTATGCTTTTAACACAAATAGGTTTGTGTCTTATGTACATCACATTTTAACTTTTTTTATTAACTAATTTTCTAAAAGTGCTAATGACATAACTAACTAATGTCTAAAAATATAATGTGTAGAAGACCCAAGAAGTAACGTCACTTGGACCTTTTCTACAGCAACAGGGAAACAAACATTGACAAATAGTTCTACCCCTTTTTTAGCACATAATTCAAAATGGCAGATATGGGCCAGAATTTGATATCAGTCGACTCGGCATGACGCCCTGAATCTAACAAGAACTTTATTATTTTTGGACCAACCGTTCAGAAGTTATCAGCAAAAATAGCCATTTTTCAAATCTCCGGACCAGTAGGTGGCGTTGCGCCGAAACGCTGCATGTTGCCTCAGGTCATGCTTGTGATGCAAAAATTGTTCATAGGTTTATCAAAAAAACAGTTAAGCGAATCAACTTGAACTTTATAACTTTTGTCATCATGCTCTGTAGATGATCTGATTCAAATTTTGTGCAAATTAGACAAACCCTCTAGGACGAGTTCGAAAATTGTGGAAAATGCAAGATGGCGGCCATATTTTTTATTTAATTTTTTTTAATTTTTTTTTTTTTTTTTTTTTTTTTTTTTGCGGCCATATTTTTATGACTGAAAATGATCTCATAGGGTGCAATCAATCGGCATGAGCTCAGGAACAAAGGGGAAAAAGGAATTTATGATAGGCCTTATGGTTCAAAAGCTATTAGCATAATTAAGTGAAACTTTGGACAGGTGGTGGTCCTAGAGGGAATGAATTAGAAACATTCCCAATCCCATATTAATTTATGGGAAATATGAGTATATCAATAACTACCCATATTTGTAGAACGAGTCTATTGTGTATATCTGCTATGTCTGTATTTTCTCTATCTATTTGAAAGTCACTCTAGGCTCATCTACACGAGGCTGTGAATTGTGACTGCGCTGATGAAGAGTGTGAAACTGAACTGAGCGACTTTATCACCCAAACCACTGAGATCTTTGCATACTTACAGACAGGACCACAGACGCAACAGCAGAGCAGGATAACACAGGCGCAGGAGCTGTAACTGTCATCCTGGTAATGAATCATGTTACAGATTAAAGATGGTATAAAAATACTGAAGGCCAAGATGCTTAAGAAACCAGTGTGGAAATTTCAATTTCCATGAACTTCTTCAAAGAAAGCCATGGTTTTTGTGTTGCGTGTTCTGTTGAGTAGGCTGGAAAAAAAAAAATACACAACTTTTGCTCAGATTTTTTGCCCCGATTTGCAGTCTGGACGAGTCTACAATAGTTGCCAAAAAGTTTCCTTCAGGCCAGTAAATGTAATGCTTATATTTGCTTTTACTATTAATTTACTAAATTATTAAATATTTCAGAGCAAAAAAAGTACCTACTATCAAAAAGAAAACTATCAATCAGAGAGAATGCGGCATGAACTTCATTTGTCTCCAGATATATAATCTAGCATCCGATCAGCAAAGTATTTTTGATTAAATGCAATACATTTCTCATATGTATTCTTTCGTTATTTCATCTGACTTCATAAATGAAACGTTTTTTTAATGATATCTGCATCATTAAATATGGGCTAAGCGAAAGTTTGCCTATTCCTTCTTTAACTCTAATGAAATAATCTCAAAGTCAGTTAGAATAATCAAATGTAAGAATTTATTATGTCAAATAAATGTATCATTCCAATTCCATGATCAGTTCAAAGATAATCAATACAAAACATAAAATGCTCTGGAATAAAGAGAAGAAATGCGAACCCAACATTTAAGAAATTTGTGAAGCTGAGAGTCCCGAGCCCCTAATGGGGCGTTCATTATAGAATAACATTGGATATTTGCATTCAGAAGTTTACACCTTTTCGGGGTAGGACCGTTTGTCTAGAGACCACATTCCTTTGTGTGCCAGTTATCCCTAAATTCTTAAAAACCTTATTACCTTTTGTTTTACTTATTTGTAAATGAGACATTTGTACCAGTCGCTTTGAGACATTTTAAAAAAAATACCAAAAATGTATAAAACTCTATGTTAATTATTCACATTAGACCATTTAGATTCTTGTGTGAGTGTGGTGATCTCTGCAAGGGTGAAAAACGAGGCAGAGAAATGTAGATTAGGATGAGGGAAGTGAGACCATCGTCTGGATAGTGCACGAGGGGGTGTTTTCAGCATGGTCCTTTGTCCACCTGAGGAGTGGCCATTCCTCAACCATTTTTTTCCAGTCTCACAACTGTATAGAGCAGGCTTTTCAGCAAAGTTTTGGTCATGTTGATAATGTATAGGCTATATATAATCATACATTTTAACATAAGTTTTCACACAAAAAATGTTTACTTTAAGTTATGTGAGAATATATGTTTTAATAATGTGCTTAAAATGTTGTAACACGCATTACCAAACAAGCATTTGTTTGGCAAAAAAAAAAAAAAAAAGAAGCTATGTTTAAAACAAACAAACATGAAATTGTATTATTTGTCCTAATAAGATGGAAAATAGCAATAAATAAATTTCCAAATGCCTCTATGGTCCTGCCCTTTTCAATAACTGAATGACATGTAGGTTCACCACTATTTGATGTTTGCGGTTTCAGTTTTATTTTGGCTTAATGTGCATTTTCATTAAACTCTTGAGCATAATGACTCCACTCCAGATGAAAATTAGTCTGTATGGCTTACAGATTTGCTCATTTACATTTAGACATTGTCCTTATGTTCATTAATGTGCATTGTCCCTTATTAAATTATTTAAAACTCTTGCTCTTTAAGAGCAGTGTGCAGAACTGAGGTTATTGCGACCTCTGATGGCTATCTTGTAAACTGCTAAACATGCTGTGACGAGTGTGATCCCTATGGTGTGATCGAATTGGTTATTACGGTATGGTGGATGTCACAACACTCACGAACAAATTAAGAGAGAAGGAATTAGAATAACAGGGCTGGTAAAACATTAATCTAGTAAAAAAAAAAAAATCTGTAAAATCAAATGTGGTTGCCACTATTATACAGTAATTTGCAATTTAAGCTGATAAAGTGCTGTAGCTTAAGACAGAAGTGCAAATGTAACCACGCCTGTAAAATAATCATACTGAACATGATTCAGTCTGGTGAACGTAACCAGACCAAAGATTATTCAAACACATTCATAAAGCAGATTTTATACAATCTAACAGAAAAGTGCTAGTCTGAAATGAAAATGACAAAAGAAATTTGGTCCAGAACTCTTATACTTAGAGAGTGAGATAAACAGTCTAATTTAAAACGTGTCTGGAGTAAAGATTAACGTAGAGATAAAACTGTGTGAAGTATTATGTTTGTTTAAGACTGCCAAGACTCGAGTCAACACTGGAGATGGGAATCATGTCTGCCCCAGTTGTTCTTAGGTTAAGGGATGTAGTGTTAACAGAAATGTGGTTAAGTTTGTTGTGACTGCTGTGGCTTACTTTACACAAGATATAGCCAGATGGCTTGAGATTTAGTTTACAAGCTTGTTCAAAATAGCAAACATCCAGCTCAACTGGTGTGCCAGAGAAATGAGCAGGTCTCTGGTTAAAAATAATAATAATAATAATAATAAAATTAACAGTATTTATAGGATAGTTTATAGGTAGCCTGACTTGATATGCCACACTGGATTCTCCATTTTGTCTTTATATTTGTCTTGATATCAGTAGTAAAACCTGGGTGTCCTGCTATCAAATGATGAAACTCTCACTCTGTACTCCCTCTTTTAACGCACTTTAGACTGCACATAACACACACAAAATAAAAATAAAAATAAAAAAAATTTTTTTTTTAGGAGAAGATAGGGACTGAAGAGATGTGGGGGAAGGTTATTATTATATCTTTTATTTTAGACAGTGTTGACAATGGCAATTGTTACATAGGAGAGAGTATGGAAATAAAAATCGACTAATACAATATTGACAATATGGTGGTTGTGGGGAGTGGAAGTGGTGATGACAATGGTAATAAATAATAAATGGTTACTTTGTTTATGTATACACACACATACACATAGCCTATACACACTCACGCCCACACACACACACACTCATAGATCAACACTTTTATGTCACTTCTGTAATTGGAATCACAAGATTGCTCACTACTGCACTATGTTGATTAATATGTCTGACTGTTAAATAAAAAAAAAAAAAAAAAAAAGTCATTTAACTTGACAGCCAACAGTGGAATTGTCAAATTGCTGATTAATAAATGGTACTATAAATATTACTTCTTTAACTCATAAAATGTTATTTTGTTCAGCTTGGTCAAGTAATTTGCATGTAAATTGTATAGAAAAAATGTTTTAGATTTGGCAATTAATAGCCAGCCTTGATAGAAGCTATTAACTCCAATGTCTGGTTGGGCAAGACCAAACAAACAAACAAACAAACAAACAATAAATAAATAAAGACTAACTAGGACCAGAAAGTTTTATATATTTTCATTGGTACAGAATGACAATGTTCTTTTTTTTCCTTTTAGACATGACTTTCATTATTTCATTATTATTTAAGTGTAAATTATGTTTATGTATATTTAATACATGTACAATATGATTACAAAGGCATTTCTTTCTGTATGTATATGTTTAATTATTTAACAAATATGTACACTCATTCATAAATTATATTTAGTTAGTAGCTTATTGTATTATGTCTATGTTCTTTGTTACCTGATTTATATTTGGTAAACCTTTTTTTAATCAAATAATATAAAATAATTACCAGAAGTATTTTACTTAAATTATATATATATATATGTAATAACTTATTTGCCTGCTAATTGCATCCATGGGGGCATCTCCGATTTCCGATTATTTGTGACAATTGACGTCCCTGCCAGCTGCCGATTTTTAACTAAACCCCCTCTCGAAATTAGTTGGCAACACAGGGTTCCTAAAGTGTTTGGGGTCATTGTCTTGCTGGAAGTCCCATGAGCTTTGACAGAGACGCAGTTTTCTTATGCTGCCCTCCGAAATATATTGATTATTTTTCAGCATGTCATGAGCAAATTCAAGGCACACTGTGCTAGAGGCAACAAAGCCACCAAGTTAGCCCACTTTTTTTGGAGACAGTAATAACAGTGCAGGCAAATATCTTCTGATATTACCCTTCAAAGTCTTCAAGTGACATTAACTTTGCTAAAGGCTCAGGTTAGATTAGGGAAATAACAGCAGTAGTTCTGAGAAGTCTGATCTCTTCAAGTGGAGGATTAGCTAGTTTCACTACACACTATCTAGGCAAACATGTCAGGCATACAAAGTAATTAAAACTCATCAGTTTCTGTTTGTACTGTCAAATTCTATATACATTGCACTTTGAAAGCTTGGCAAACACCCTAAGTCATCTGCCTGTTTCTGTTTGAACAATTCGTCATAGTACACGCAGTCACTGACAAAGATTGTAAAAATTAAATGCTAAACCCACATTGCATATCGGATAAATATATATATACATGAATAAATATTGTATTTATTTAAAGCATAATCACCCAAAATTAATAAACTGTGAACACTCACATAAGTGTGACTAGCAGGAAATGTTTAACTGAAGACACCGCTGCTAAAGGATGCTCATAGGCTTCGTGAATGTTCAATGTATTTAGTGACATATAGTTTGGTTTGTTTGAAGGAAATGTACACTGTGGTGTGTTCATTTAAATCCAAATACACACAGTTCAAACCGTCTGAATCTTTCCCTCCTTTAAGTATATTTGGTTTATAAACTCACAAATATTATGTCTAGTAAAAAAAAAATTCTGTCGACAGTTTTATGTTTGTTAGCAGGCAGTGGTGCAGAACATTGTGTACATTATGTACCTTAAAAATTAGATCCTGTTTCCAGAAATTATTTATTTATTTATTTTTTTACGTTACCAGCAATAGTATATAAGCCCTCCCTTTTAAAAAAGATTTTGTTCACAAGAGACCTGGCCTTCAGGTAAGTATTGCTCACTCTCTTGAATTACTAAATGTTCATTCTTTTATAACCAGGATTTAAAACTAAAACCATCAGGAGTGCTAAATGTATGGTTACTCTGTTACAGCCATGGAGACACGGTCTTTTCTTTTCTGCGTGGCAGTTTTAACAGTCACTGGTAAGATAAATTATATTGTATTATAATATGGTTTTTAACCCATAATCAAGATTTCATGGCAACTAACTTTTTTTTTCTCCAAGTACTTTGGTAACGTTTGCTTTACTATATATCACTATCTATAAATGCATTTAAAAATGGCATTAACAATATTGTGTTTCTGTTTTACTACAGCAGTCAGCGGATGTCCAATAGGGCGCGAATTCATCACTGCTTTTATGACAAATTACCAGTATGGAAAAGCCAGTCCGACTCTCTCCATTACAGCACAGGATTCCCCAGCCACTGTGAAAATTGAGATAAAGGGACTGAGTTACAGTGAAAATGTGAACATAGGACGAGGTGAGACCAAACGGATTGTCCTGCCGGCAAACACTGAGATGGAAGGTGACGGAGTCTTCCGGAAGACTGTTTACATCTCTTCTACTGCTCTTATCTCGGTTGTATCATCCAACATAAAGGAATACACCGGAGACAGCAGTGTGATCTTCCCGATAAATCAACTTGGCAAGAGTTATGTAGTTTTTACTCCAAACACGGGTCCAAGTCCATATAAAAAGCTGGTAGCCATAATCAATGGCAATTATATGAACACAATTGAGATCGTCTCCATTTCAGGATTTTTTTGGAAAGCCCCGAAGACCAAAACCATCACTTTGGCTCCCTACGAAGTTTATCAACTTCGCAGTCTGGAAAATTTGTCCGGAACGAAAATCATATCCACGTCTCCAGTAGCCGTCTTGGCCGGACACGAGTGCTCCATGATCATAGGCACCTGTGAGCATGTCTATGAGCAGCTGGTACCAATTGAGTTTCTCTCCCACGAATACCTGGTCCCTGCTATGCATCAGTCCTTCAGCCGAGACACTGCCTATGTGGTTGCCCCAGAGGACAACACTGTTGTGTCCGTTTTCAATAGGCATAAGTATCCCCAAAAAAGAAAGCTGCATTCTGGAGAAGTTTTAGCTGTTGATGTGAGCAGAAATGCTAAGCTCATCCAAAGTAGCAAAAACATCATGGTAATGTATTTCAGCAGCAATTTTCCAAATGATGAGTTTCTGACCAATGTCATACCAACCTCTGAGATGTCAAAATCCTGGACCATTTATTCTCAAGATGGCTATGACAACACTGTTGTTGTAGTTGCTGAAGCAGCATCAGCCTCCACTATCAGCGGCTCACTGAAATGGAAAACGTTCCCTGCTAATGACAAATTTGTATGGGCTACCAAGTCAATTGGTTCGCAGAATGGTCCCATCACCATATCAGGTGATTCGCTGATGGCTGCTTATGTTTTTGGTGGGAAACCAAGGTATGGATATGCCACAACAGGAGTGTGTAACACAGGTAAGAAATGATGACTGAACAACGTACAGTTTCTTTTTTGTACAGTCAGAAATGACATATTTATTATAACCAAAAATAAACACCTGTCTTGTGTTCCCCAAAGTTTTTACGTCAACACAGCCTCCATCAGACCCTTGTGAGACTATTAAGTGCCGTCAGCAGGAAGAGTGCAAAAAGGGTGTCTGCGTCCCCACTTCCACTGCCACATGTCAGGCCGTTGGCGATCCTCATTACAAAACGTTTGATGGAAAGTTATTTGACTTTCAGGGAACTTGTACTTACGTCATGGCAAACAATACAAAGCCTCAAAAAGGTCTTGTACCATTTACTGTCTTGGCAAAGAATAATCACCGGGGAAGTAAAAGGGTGGCTTATGTAAGGACGGTTTCTGTCCTTGTGTACAATCACACCGTGGTGGCAGGCAGCCAAAGAGGAGTAGTGGAGGTAAGCGTAACAAACACTTTATAAAGTTTTTTGATGCGTTTAAAACCACACTGAACAATTGGAATATCTCTCTTTTTTTTTTTTTTTTGGTGTTTGTGTTCTTGTCTTTCATTCTAGTTTGATGGCGAAAATACTTACCTGCCTTTGACTGTAGATGGTGGCAAAATAAAAGTGGATCAGAGGGGATGGAATGTTATTATATCAACGGATTTTGGCTTAGAGGTTAAATATGACTGGAATATGATGTTGTATATCACAGCTCCAAGCAGCTATTTCCAGACTGTAGGTGGTCTTTGTGGAAACTATAATGGTGACCGAAGAGATGAGTACACTGATCCCAAGGGCAAGGTGCTCTCCAATATCATCGAGTTTGCCAAGACCTGGAAAGTTCCAGATAATGATTTGTTTTGTAATGATGACTGTAATGGACAATGCCCAAGTTGCTCTTTAAATCTTCAAGAGGAGTACAAAAAAGACATAAACTGTGGTGTCATGGCTAAAACTGATGGTCCATTTGCCAATTGCCACAACACTGTGGATCCCCACATGTATGTAGATAATTGTGTCTATGATGTCTGTATTAACAACGGTTTCAGAAACTTCCTCTGCAACAACATTCAAAGCTACGTTGATGCTTGCATGTCAGCTGGAATCAAAATCACTGGAATGTGGAGGACACTTTCCAACTGCCGTAAGTGCATATGTATATATGTGAGATTTAAATGCGTTCAATATTTAGATTAATGAATTTGAATGAAACATTGTTTAATTAATTATGCTAGGATTTTGGTAGGCAATTAATGTGACGTGTAATCAGAATATTTATATTTTTGTTTTTCTCTTCTGCTCAAAGCTCTGGACTGTCCAGTCAATATGCATTATGATGCCTGTGGCACTGCCTGTCCCCCCTCTTGTGCTGATCGAAATGCCCCAGACAAGTGCACACTGCCATGTGTGGAAGGCTGCCAGTGTAATTCAGGTTTTGTCCGCAGTGGAGATGAATGCACACCTGTGAAAAAGTGTGGCTGCACTTACAAAGGCCGATATTATCTAGCTGAGCAGACATTTTGGGGTGAGAAACAATGCACAGAGAAATGTGTGTGTAACCCTCAAACTGGAAATGTTGAATGCACACCAACAAAATGTAAGAAGTCCCAAGTGTGTGACACACGGAATGGAGTGAGAGATTGTTACCCAATGTCCTATAGTACCTGCCAGGGTGCAGGGGATCCACACTACCGCACATTTGATGGTAAAGCCTTTGACTTTCAAGGAACCTGCACCTATTATTTGTCCAAGCTACTCGATACAGCTGACCCATCATTGATACCTTTTGAGGTGCTGGTCAAGAATGAGAACAGAGGAAGAAACATGGCAGTTGCTTACACTAAGACTGTATCCTTAACAGTCTATGGATACACAATTGTCTTGAGTAAAGATGACCCAGGCAAAGTGAAGGTCCGTACATTTAAAACTCTTATACAAATAACATGAATACTGCATAAAGGCATGAACAAATGTCATTATATGCTAACCTACAAAAAACAAAAACTTTTGTTAATTCGTTGGTAACTTGTGTCCTAAAGGTCAACAACCTGTATGTGAATTTGCCATTTGAACAAGATGGCCGATTCTCCATATTCCGCAGTGGGTACTTTGGCGTGATAAAAACTGAGTTTGATCTGACATTGAAATTCAACTGGGATAGCCACGTGGCACTGACTCTCCCCAGCACTTACTACAGTCAAGTGGGGGGGCTTTGCGGCAACTGGAATAACAATGTCAATGATGATTTGCTTACTCCTGACAAAACTCTTGCTGCCACCCCAACCATTTTTGGAACCAGCTGGAAAGTCAAGGATGACCCTGGATGCTCAGATGGATGTCAGGGCAAAGCATGTCCTAAATGTGACGCCACCGAGAGAAACAAAGTCACTTTTACAAAGCCTTGCAGCAAGATCACTGACAAACAGGGACCATTCAAAGGCTGCCATAATAAAGTGAATCCAAATCAGTTTTATGAGGATTGTGTGTATGATATGTGTATGTACGGGGGTCATTCGTCAGCACTCTGCAGTGCTCTTACTGCATACACAGCTGCTTGTCAAGATGCACTTGGCCAAGTGGAATCCTGGAGAACCGACAGTTTTTGCCGTTAGTATTCATTGCAACAACATTTACTTCTCTTTACGATTGTACATATTGTGAAAATAGTCCTTAATATCATTTGTCCACAGCTGCATCCTGTATGGACAACAGCCACTATGAGGTTTGTGCGACAGGATGTTCCCAGACGTGTTATGGCCTCACTGAGCCCAAGGGCTGTGAGGGAACTCCCTGCGTTGAAGGCTGTATTTGTGATGAGGGCTTTGTCCTGAGCGATGGTGAATGTACGCCTATGGAACAGTGTGGCTGTTCTTACGAGGGCAAGTACTATCAGCTGGGTCAGGAATTCTTCCCTCAGGACAAGTGCCAGCAGAGATGTGTCTGCAAAGAGAATGGAAGAGTTCAGTGTAATGATGGATTCACCTGCAAACCAACTGAGAAATGCCAGGTTCTGAATGGTGTTCTGGGCTGTTTCCCAGAGAGCAAAGCCATTTGCTCAGTGTCAGGCTTTGGGCTTTATCAGACATTCGATGGGAAGTCCTTCACTGTTGAAGGAGACTGTGAGTATAGATTGGCAGAGACAGCTCAGAACAAGGATGAGGACATGAACTCTTTCAGTGTATTAGTCAAACAGCAGTCCTCCTCTGAGATAGTCTTTACTCGAAGAGTGGAAATACAAATAGAACAATCCACGATTACTTTGCTGCCCGGCCACATCTGGGAGGTTCAGGTAATGTACTGGGGTTACTAAAACGCTAACAATAGTTTTTAAGTGATCAAATACTGTCGCCTACAATGTTAAAGTTTGATTTAGCTTCTTTTTTTTTTAACAGGTGGACAATGTTAAAACCAATCTCCCCGTGACTGTGGAGGAAGGACTGGCACAAGTCTATCAGAGCGGTGTTAACATTGTTGTGGAAACAGAGTTTGGATTGAAACTGACATATGATACAGTCTCCATGGCCAAAATCGAGATCCCGTCCACTTTTAAAAATGCAGTCAAAGGTCTCTGTGGTAACTACAATGGAGACAGCGCCGATGATTTTCTCCTGCCAGATGGTATTCAGACGACATCTGTGGTAGATTTTGCTGAGTCCTGGGTTTCACCATCAGACAAGCTGATGTGTCAAACAATTTGTGGCTCCAAATGTTTAAATCCGGACACAGACAAACAGACAGAGGCAGAAACAGCTTGCAGTATGCTAATCGCAGAGAAGGGACCATTTTCTGGTTGTTACGAAAAAATTCCACCTCAGAAATTCTTTGATGAATGCGTTAAAGATGTGGCAGCACAACCAAAAGACAAGACTGTTCACTGTCGCCACATACAAAGGTATGCCGCCAGCTGTCAAGAGATTGGGACGACAATCAACAGCTGGAGGAATAAAACCTTCTGTCGTAAGTGTCTGCATACTTTACGTTTAAAAATAACTCTCCTCGAGCCTATCTACATAATGCCCATTAATGCACCAAACAATACGTTTTTCTTTAAAATTTCACTGTTTTCTTTCAGCACTCACATGTTTCAAAAACAGTCACTATGAACTCTGCGCTGACACCTGTTCCTCGACCTGTGCAAGCCTGACAAAGTCACAGAAATGCCCGATGTGTCAGGAAGGATGTCAGTGTGATGATGGCTTTTTGTTTGATGGAGGTGAATGTAAGACTTTGGATGACTGTGGTTGTAATGTAGATGGAAAGTTTTACAAGGTGAGAATCTATCTGGTTCGTTCTTTTCATTTTATTTTTTACTTATTTATTTATTATTAATTGTACCCAAACATGACACCAGTGACAATAACCACAGAGAAAACAATGTTTTTTTTTTCATCTTTCCAACCAAAATATTGATTTCTTTAATATATTCTGCAGTCTGGTGAGACAGTCATTCGGGGAGAGTGTGAAGAGAAATGTTACTGTAAAGCCGGAGTGTTCTCATGTGAACCCTTGGAATGCAATGAAGATCAGATCTGTGGCAAAAAAGATGGCGCCATTGGGTGCTACAGCAAAGGTATTTATGTTTATAAGAAGTGTACCATGAAAGTAAAATATATGTTTATATACAAGGTATTTACATGCTCTCTTTTCTCTGTTTCATCCTTCAAGCTACTTACTGTCCAGTCAATATGCATTATGATGCCTGTGGTACTGCCTGTCCCCCCTCTTGTGCTGATAGAGATGGTCCAGAAGAGTGCACACTGCCATGTGTGGAAGGCTGCCTGTGCAATGCAGGATTTGTCCGCAGTGGAGATGAATGCACACCTGTGAAAAAGTGTGGCTGCACGTACAAAGGCCGATATTATCTAGCTGAGCAGACATTTTGGGGTGACAATAAATGCACAGAGAAATGTGTGTGTAACCCTCAAACTGGAAAGGTTGAATGCACACCAACAAAGTGTAAGAATCCCCTAGTGTGTGACACACGGAATGGAGTAAAAGATTGTTACCCAATTTCCTATAGTACCTGCCAGGGTGCAGGGGATCCACACTACCGCACATTTGATGGTAAAACCTTTGACTTTCAAGGAACCTGCACCTATTATTTGTCCAAGCTACTCAATACAGCTGACCCATCATTGATACCTTTTGAGGTGCTGGTCAAGAATGAGAACAGAGGAAGAAACATGGCAGTTGCTTACACTAAGACTGTATCCTTAACAGTCTATGGATACACAATTGTCTTGAGTAAAGATGACCCAGGCAAAGTGAAGGTCCGTACATTTAAAACTCTTATACAAATAACATGAATACTGCATAAAGGCATGAACAAATGTCATTATATGCTAACCTTCAAAAAACAAAAACTTTTGTTAATTCGTTGGTAACTTGTGTCCTAAAGGTCAACAACCTGTATGTAAATTTGCCATTTGAACAAGATGGCCGATTCTCCATATTCCGCAGTGGGTACTTTGGCGTGATAAAAACTGAGTTTGATCTGACATTGAAATTCAACTGGGATAGCCACGTGGCACTGACTCTCCCCAGCACTTACTACAGTCAAGTGGGGGGGCTTTGCGGCAACTGGAATGACAATGTCAATGATGATTTGCTTACTCCTGACAAAACTCTTGCTGCCACCCCAACCATTTTTGGAACCAGCTGGAAAGTCAAGGATGACCCTGGATGCTCAGATGGATGTCAGGGCAAAGCATGTCCTAAATGTGACGCCACAGAGAGAAACAAAGTCACTTTTACAAAGCCTTGCAGCAAGATCACTGACAAACAGGGACCATTCAAAGGCTGCCATAATAAAGTGAATCCAAATCAGTTTTATGAGGATTGTGTGTATGATATGTGTATGTACGGGGGTCATTCGTCAGCACTCTGCAGTGCTCTTACTGCATACACAGCTGCTTGTCAAGATGCACTTGGCCAAGTGGAATCCTGGAGAACCAACAGTTTTTGCCGTTAGTATTGTTTTATTTCAAATATAATTATAACTCATTAACGTAGTTTGACATTAGTTCTTAATATGGTCTGTCCACAGCTACAAACTGTAAGGCACACAGCCACTATGAGGTTTGTGCGACAGGATGCCCGCAGACGTGTTATGGCCTCACTGAGCCCAAGAGCTGTATGGGAACTCCCTGTGTTGAAGGTTGCACATGTGACAAAGGCTTTGTCCTGAGCGATGGTGAGTGTGTGGCTGCTAAGCAGTGTGGCTGTACTGAAAAGGGCAAGTACTATCAGCTGGGTCAGGAATTCTTCCCTCAGGACAAGTGCCAGCAGAGATGTGTCTGCAAAGAGAATGGACGAGTTCAGTGTAATGATGGATTCACCTGCAAACCAACTGAGAAATGCCAGGTTCTGAATGGTGTTCTGGGCTGTTTCCCAGAGAGCAAAGCCATTTGCTCAGTGTCAGGCTTTGGGCTTTATCAGACATTCGATGGGAAGTCCTTCACTGTTGAAGGAGACTGTGAGTATAGATTGGCAGAGACAGCTCAGAACAAGGATGAGGACATGAACTCTTTCAGTGTATTAGTCAAACAGCAGTCCTCCTCTGAGATAGTCTTTACTCGAAGAGTGGAAATACAAATAAAACAATCCACGATTACTTTGCTGCCCGGCCACATCTGGGAGGTTCAGGTAATGTACTGGTTACCTAAACACAAATAGTTTTTAAGTGATCAAAGACTGTTGCCTAAAATCTTTTATGTTGGTATTTTCTTTACAGTTGAACAAAGTTAAAACTAATCTCCCCGTGACTGTGAATGATGGACTGGTACAAGTCTATCAGAGCGGTGTTAACATTGTTGTGGAAACAGAGTTTGGATTGAAACTGACATATGATACAGTCTCCATGGCCAAAATCGAGATCCCGTCCACTTTTAAAAATGCAGTCAAAGGTCTCTGTGGTAACTACAATGGAAACAGCGCCGATGATTTTCTTCTGTCAGGTGGTATTCAGACGACATCTGTGGTAGATTTTGCTGAGTCCTGGGTTTCACCATCAGACAAGCTGATGTGTCAAACAAATTGTGGTTCCAAATGTTTAAATCCGGACACAGACAAACAGACCGAGGCAGAAACAGCTTGCAGTATGCTAATCGCAGAGAAGGGACCATTTTCTGGTTGTTACGAAAAAATTCCACCTCAGAAATTCTTTGATGAATGCGTTAAAGATGTGGCAGCACAACCAAAAGACAAGACTGTTCACTGTCGCCACATACAAAGGTATGCCGCCAGCTGTCAAGAGATTGGGACGACAATCAACAGCTGGAGGAATAAAACCTTCTGTCGTAAGTGTCTGCATACTTTACGTTTAAAAATAACTCTCCTCGAGCCTATCTACATAATGCCCATTAATGCACCAAACAATACGTTTTTCTTTAAAATTTCACTGTTTTCTTTCAGCACTCACATGTTTCAAAAACAGTCACTATGAACTCTGTGCTGACACCTGTTCCTCGACCTGTGCAAGCCTGACAAAGTCACAGAAATGCCCGATGTGTCAGGAAGGATGTCAGTGTGATGATGGCTTTTTGTCTGATGGAGGTGAATGTAAGACTTTGGATGACTGTGGTTGTAATGTAGATGGAAAGTTTTACAAGGTGAGAATCTATCTGGTCCGTTCTTTTCATTTTAATTTTTACTTATTTATTATTAATTGTATCCAAACATGACACCAGTGACAATAACCACAGAGAAAACAATGTTTTTTTTTATCTTTCCAACCAAAATATTGATTTCTTTAATATATTCTGCAGTCTGGTGAGACAGTCATTCGGGGAGAGTGTGAAGAGAAATGCTACTGTAAAGCCGGAGTGTTCTCATGTGAACCCTTGGAATGTAATAAAGATCAGATCTGTGGCAAAAAAGATGGCGCCATTGGGTGCTACAGCAAAGGTATTTATGTTTATAAGAAGTGTACCATGAAAGTAAAATATATGTTTATATACAAGGTATTTACATGCTCTCTTTTCTCTGTTTCATCCTTCAAGCTACTTACTGTCCTGTCAATATGCATTATGATGCCTGTGGCACTGCCTGTCCCCCCTCTTGTGCTGATCGAAATGCCCCAGACAAGTGCACACTGCCATGTGTGGAAGGCTGCCTGTGCAATGCAGGTTTTGTCCGCAGTGGAGATGAATGCACACCTGTGAAAAAGTGTGGCTGCACGTACAAAGGCCGACAATATCTAGCTGAGCAGACATTTTGGGGTGAGAAACAATGCACAGAGAAATGTGTGTGTAACCCTCAAACTGGAAATGTTGAATGCACACCAACAAAATGTAAGAAGTCCCAAGTGTGTGACACACGGAATGGAGTAAAAGATTGTTACCCAATTTCCTATAGTACCTGCCAGGGTGCAGGGGATCCACACTACCGCACATTTGATGGTAAAACCTTTGACTTTCAAGGAACCTGCACCTATTATTTGTCCAAGCTACTCAATACAGCTGACCCATCATTGATACCTTTTGAGGTGCTGGTCAAGAATGAGAACAGAGGAAGAAACATGGCAGTTGCTTACACTAAGACTGTATCCTTAACAGTCTATGGATACACAATTGTCTTAAGCAAGGAAAGCCCACGCAAAGTGAAGGTCAGTTCATCAAAAAGACTCTTCTACCTGTAATACGAATAACCGCATGCATAGCCAGTCGATTGTAACTGTACAATGACTTACCAAAAATTACACATGGTTTTGAATAATAATTTATTTGGATGAATTTGTCTCAAAAGGTCAACAACCAGTATGTGAATTTGCCATTTGAACCAGAAGATGGTCGACTTTCAATATTCTACAGTGGGTTCTTTGGCGTGATAAAAACTGAGTTTGATCTGACATTGAAATTCAACTGGGATAGCCACGTGGCACTGACTCTCCCCAGCACTTACTACAGTCAAGTGGGGGGGCTTTGCGGCAACTGGAATGACAATGTCAATGATGATTTGCTTACTCCTGACAAAACTCTTGCTGCCACCCCAACCATTTTTGGAACCAGCTGGAAAGTCAAGGATGACCCTGGATGCTCAGATGGATGTCAGGGCAAAGCATGTCCTAAATGTGACGCCACCGAGAGAAACCAAGTCCCTTTTACAAAGCCTTGCAGCAAGATCACTGACAAACAGGGACCATTCAAAGGCTGCCATAATAAAGTGAATCCAGATCAGTTTTATGAGGATTGTGTGTATGATATGTGTATGTACGGGGGTCATTCGTCAGCACTCTGCAGTGCTCTTACTGCATACACAGCTGCTTGTCAAGATGCACTTGGCCAAGTGGAATCCTGGAGAACCAACAGTTTTTGCCGTTAGTATTGTTTTATTTCAAATATAATTATAACTCATTAACGTAGTTTGACATTAGTTCTTAATATGGTCTGTCCACAGCTACAAACTGTAAGGCACACAGCCACTATGAGGTTTGTGCGACAGGATGCCCGCAGACGTGTTATGGCCTCACTGAGCCCAAGGCCTGTGAGGAAACTCCCTGTGTTGAAGGTTGCACATGTGACAAAGGCTTTGTCCTGAGCGATGGTGAGTGTGTGGCTGCTAAGCAGTGTGGCTGTACTGAAAAGGGCAAGTACTATCAGCTGGGTCAGGAATTCTTCCCTCAGGACAAGTGCCAGCAGAGATGTGTCTGCAAAGAGAATGGACGAGTTCAGTGTAATGATGGATTCACCTGCAAACCAACTGAGAAGTGCCAGGTTCTGAATGGTGTTCTGGGCTGTTTCCCAGAGAGCAAAGCCATTTGCTCAGTGTCAGGCTTTGGGCTTTATCAGACATTCGATGGGAAGTCCTTCACTGTTGAAGGAGACTGTGAGTATAGATTGGCAGAGACAGCTCAGAACAAGGATGAGGACATGAACTCTTTCAGTGTATTAGTCAAACAGCAGTCCTCCTCTGAGATAGTCTTTACTCGAAGAGTGGAAATACAAATAGAACTATCCACGATTACTTTGCTGCCCGGCCACATCTGGGAGGTTCAGGTAATGTACTGGTTACTAAAACACTAACAATATAGTTTTAAGTGATCAAATACTGTTGCCTAAAATCTTTTATGTTGGTATTTTCTTTACAGTTGAACAAAGTTAAAACCAATCTCCCCGTGACTGTAAATGATGGACTGGTACAAGTCTATCAGAGCGGTGTTAACATTGTTGTGGAAACAGAGTTTGGATTGAAACTGACATATGATACAGTCTCCATGGCCAAAATCGAGATCCCGTCCACTTTTAAAAATGCAGTCAAAGGTCTCTGTGGTAACTACAATGGAAACAGCGCCGATGATTTTCTCCTGCCAGATGGTATTCAGACATCTTCCGTGGAGTACTTTGCTGACTCCTGGGTTTTGCCATCAGATAAAATGATGTGCCAAACAATTTGTGGCTCCAAATGTTTAAATCCGGACAAAGACAAACAGACAGAGGCAGAAACAGCTTGCAGTATGCTAATCGCAAAGAAGGGACCATTTTCTGGTTGTTACGAAAAAATTCCACCTCAGAAATTCTTTGATGAATGTGTTAAAGATGTGGCAGCACAACCAAAAGACAAGACTGTTCACTGTCGCCACATACAAAGGTATGCCGCCAGCTGTCAAGAGATTGGGACGACAATCAACAGCTGGAGGAATAAAACCTTCTGTCGTAAGTGTCTGCATGTTCCTCAAATGACCCTCTTCTTGTTTGTCCTCTTGCTGGCCTTCTTTTTACGTAGCCTTTAGTTGAAGAAGCTACTATGTCAAATTAAACATTCTCTCTAAAAACTGATTTCTGAGCCAGTCTCTAAAAACAATCTTGAATTCTTCCAGCACTCGAGTGTTCGGCAAACAGTCACTATGACCTTTGTGCTGAAACTTGTTCTTCAACCTGCGCCAGCCTGACTAACTCACAGGATTGTCCACCATGTCAGGAAGGATGTCAGTGTGATGATGGCTTCTTGTTTGATGGAGGTGAATGCAAGACTTTGCAGGACTGTGGTTGTAATGTAGATGGAAAGTTTTACAAGGTGAGAAACCATCTCACTTTCTTTCTTGCAGTAGTCAAACATCACACTAGTCACAGGAAGAAACTGACACTTATTGTCTCTTATTTTTTCTGCAGTCAGGTGAGACAGTCTTTCAAGGACAGTGTAAAGAGAAATGCCTCTGCAAAACTGGAGTGTTCTCCTGTGAACCTTTTAAATGTGATGCAGATCAGATCTGTGACAAAAAAGAAGGTGTAATTGGGTGCTACAAGAAAGGTAAGTATGTCTACAATGAACATTGTAAAGAATTTCCCAATGAGGTTTAAATGAAACCATAATACAGATGCACACCTCTGTTCCAGATCCTTGCAGTAACTATGAGTGCCGTGAACAAGAGTACTGCACTGTAAAGGACAATAAGGCACTGTGTGTTGCAAAGTCAAAGGCCTCCTGCATTGCCAAAGACGATCCTCTTTACAAAACCTTTGATGGAAGCCACTTTTCCTTCCAGGGTACTTGCTCCTATACTTTAGTTAAAACTTCAGGCAAAGACCTAACACTAACACCTTTCAGCATCGTCAACAAGAATGAGATGCTCAAAGGCACACGTGGTGCTTACGTGAAGTCAGCCACCATTACAGTCAGAGGACATGAGATCACTTTCATCCGAGGAAACCGCAATCATGTGACAGTAAGTCAGTACCATCAAGTCAATGTTAAAACATCTCAATGTCCCTCTAAGGTAATATTGTATATTAGGGGAAGCCAACCTTGCACCCAGAGGACTACCTTCTAACAGACTTCAGTTTCGACCTTGCTCCAACACACCTGCTATTTTAAAGTAATTTTCAGCTTAATTGGCTAGTTCAGATACTGTAGGTTTGGAGCTAAAATCTCCTGGAGCAGTGTTGACTACCCCTGTTGTACACTTTTGAAATTCTCTACTTAAAGGGATACTTCACCTCTGAGTGGTGAGATGCATGTGTATATAAAATGGGTCATTTATGTTTCAGAAATGTTAAATTATTTTTGAATTTGGAGCTTTCTAGACTCCCAGAGTCTAGAAATGCACTTGCTTCGCTGCCCTAGGAGGCCACGCCTACCGGTAACAGAGCGCAGTAGTTAAACAACAAGTCAAGACTACTAGTGAGTCTCCGTGATGAGTCTGCCCGAAAATGTGTTTCGAGAACGCCCAAAATGTCTGGGATTTGGCTTTTGCATTTTATAGTCACCATTCCTTATGTTTACTGTGGCGAGCAGAAAGAGGCCAGGGCCACGGGAGAACGGTGCGAGGCCGGTGGCGTGATTACTGATGAGCGACACCTGTGAGACGCACCGGTCTCGTATCTCTCACGGAGGAGCGGGAATTGCTTAGCAATGTTAAAACGCAGATCAACCGATCACTTGTTTAGCGTTCATGTAAACACTACATTCAGATTCACCAACTGGAATGAATTCAGTTAAATTATAACAAAAGCTGTGCATGTAAACAATGAATGGCGACTGCAGAAAGCAAAAGCTTAATCCCAGACATCGACGGCCGGACATGTCTGGGAAAAAGAGGATGGTAAACCCTACTACTCCGCTTTCTCCACAGAACAAGAGCCTGCTAGCTTAGCTTCCAAAAAAAAAAAAAATGGCTGACACTATTGTGTACATTCTGTGAGTGAGATCCCACCCTCTATGGGCATTGATGAAAACATACGAAACAGCCCCTACTACTAACCGTAGTCTTTAGCCTCTGGCCAAAAAAATCCTCAAGATGACGCAAAATGGCAATTTTTGTGTCATCGGAGGATTTTTTTTTTCCAGACAAAAAATACATATATCTCTCATCTCAGGGGGATATGAGGGTGGAAAGCATGGTAATTCGCAAAATACTGCAGGTTTTCTACCAATACAAAGCTTAATGCTAAATCCTTTTCATTTAGTATCCCTTTAATATGTCTGTTTCTTGCTCTCATTTTATCCTATCCAGATTGATGGCACAGTTTCAAACCTTCCTGTAAGTTTAAACTCTGATGGGATCAACATAACGAAATTGGGTACAACAGGAGTCCTGCAGACAGATTTTGGCTTGGAGGTCATGTTTAATTGGGCGAATACCCTCATGGTGACATTGTCCAGTAGTTATTATAATAACATAGTTGGAATGTGTGGAACCTACAGTAATGACCTGCAGGATGATTATGTCACACCAAGTGGTAAGAGCATGACAGACATCACAGAATGGGCAAAGTCTTGGAGTGTCCCTGAAAGCAACAGCAACTGCTGGCACTTTCCCCCTTGCTCAGATGATAAGAAGTTACTATATAGTGGACAAAGCTATTGTGGCTTGTTAGAGAATGCGAAGGGCCCATTTGCCCAGTGCCATGACATAATTTCAAAGAGGCGATTCGCTGCTGACTGCCTTTTCCAAATGTGTCTCAATGATGGAAGTCGAAATGCTTTATGCAATGCCTTCAATAATTATGTGTCGTCTTGTGCACTGGTAAAGGCTGACGTGTCTCCAGAGTGGAAAACGCTCGCAAACTGCTGTAAGTCATGGCCATGACTCAAAATCTTTGTTTAATATATGTTTAATTATATATTACATTAATGCTACCTTTCCTGTCTTTTATTTCCAACAGGATGAAGATATTTTTCTCAAGTCGCATGGATCCCAGTGAAAAAAATTGCTAAATAAATAATATTTTGCTTTGCTTTTCAAAGTTAAAATGTTGACATATATAACAGTTTTTGTCATTACTTAATATCACATTATGTAATATTAGAATTGGTGTTTAAAATTGATATTTAAGCGAGTTTCTTTTCTTGAATGGCTACATAAAGATTTGTGCTATCCAGAAATCAGTCTATAGTTAATCTTGGGAAAATTGCTCTGTTTTAAACTTGATTTATTCCTTCAAATGCTTCCATAATTAACATTCTCATTAAATTCTTGCATCTATGTGCATTATGTTGATTTCATTAAGCTGTGTCATTTCCTGTGTTATTATAAACGCCAAAAGTCATTAACAGAAATATAGGTTATGCCAACCATGTCAGCTTCTAAAATTGACATAATCAATAATTAAAAAGTATTTTATTAACATTCAACTCCTCCAGACACAAAGCATCCACCAATTTGCAACAGTTAATATTTCAGATGCAGTTCAACACTCACACACTAACCAATGAATTTCATTGAAAATGCTACATTGTGCTAGCCTGGTCCCACCAGACCCTCGAACATTTCATTTGTACACAGTAGGTGGGTAGCCTACTCTGTTAAAGTTTAAAACTATTGGATCTGCCCAGAGCCACTCTAGATCTGCCACAAGCAATCACTAACGTTGTGATGTATGACGACTCAAACTAGCACACAACATCAACGTCATCGTTCTCAACCACTCCCTCTGTTCACTAATTGGACCGGTAAAACATTGGCCTGGAGAAAACCAAAGAATACATCCCAAACCCAGACGTTGTACCAAAGCCCGTCTACGGAAAGCCTGGCCACTCTCTATTAAGTCCTATTGTACCAAATTTTGGTTGTAATTCCACTCGCTCCGATCGTCCGAGTGCAAAATGAATGGGAGTCTATGGAGCTGGATTGCTAAATTTGTCTCTTTCACCCGATTGCCGTTGAGAAATCTCAGATTTGATTATAGGTTTTGCAAGTTCAACATGGGTTATAGATCAAAAGTTGAATGAACGAGTACTCTGTGTCCTTTCGATTTCTTACAGGTTGAGTTGTTGTTGCCCATAACCTGCTAGCATTCGGCTAATGGACACTGATTGGAATTTTTCCGGAATCAGTCCTTGAACGCGCGCTGTGTGAACAAAAGCCAGGGCCAATGCCGTAAGGGGTCTGTCATAGTGATGACAATCGCGCGACTCTGTTGCTCTAAGAAGAAAGTTTGTGTTCGTCATCAACAAAAAAAGGACGAACAAATGTCTGCAAACTGGAACGAAGCAGAGACCAGGAGCCCCTCACTATCTGCGCTGCAGCTGAGATCGTTCACCAGCTTTGTGGAACGGTATGCGCATGTAAATATTTTCGGCGCGTACGTTACACGTCTCATCCTGACGTCATGTGCCTTTCCGGGATCTTTACGGGTTGTGTGTGTGAACGCACTCACAGATCCCGGCAAATGTGAACGCCACCGTCCAAATGTGGACTGCAGTGTGAACCGTCACAGCAGCAGGTGGAGAGCAATCGCATCATGACTTTTGCGTAAACATACGCGCCACTTTCAAGTCAAGTGGCATGTTATCTATATGCATTTTGAGCTATCCACGTGTGTATGTCTATGCCGTTAATGTCCGAATGATTCCGCGTGTATGTACACGCCGTTAAATGTCCGAACGAAACGAAGCAAAATGTAGATCTACATCTGGGGAGCGATATTTTTTTCCTAATAATAATAATAAGGAATAAATAAATAATGTACAAACTTTCAAGGACCTTTGGGAACTGTGGAAAACCGTCAAAGTTTGCTGAAAACACCTGAAGGACTCCAAGATGGTGATAATAAGATCCTCTTGGTCTGATGAGACCAAGGTAGAACTTTTTGGCCTTAATTCTAAAGCTTGTTCACACTACATGATTTAAAACGTCGGGCTGACTGTGCGGTTCACACTACATGACTTGCTCTCAGTGAAATCAGGAGTGTTCAAGTTGTTTAGCTGTTCACACCACACAACACAAACGTGATTGATCCACAACAGGAGGTAACTCACACAAGTTGACAACGCACTAGAGATACAACCACGATCGGATAATAAGAGCAAATCATTTGTGACTCAATGAGAGCTGTTACAGTCTAAATCCTGAAAATAATAAAATAAATAATGAGTTGACAACAACTCTGTCACCCAACGATTCTATCTTGTCTACAAATCACGTTTTGTCACGAAAAAACAATAACTAAATAAATAAATAAATAAATATTGCGCCAATACCCAGCGAAGAAGAGAACACAACACGTGAATATATGGACGTCAGACAGAAACTAGTGCTGCACACTGTTTGCGCGACGATCTGCTCTGAGGGGGAAAAAGCAACAAAAAAAAAGAAAAACTAAGATGTCCTCAAACCATGCGTTGCTATGATTGGCTGTACTCATGACATCACTGAGTTTGAGTTTGCGCGACGGCTCTGGATATAGCAGGCTAGTTTTTCTGGGCTCGGCGACGCGTCTGCGAGGCGTCTGCGAGCGTTTTCGCTGCGTT